TCCCAGTGTTCGTCTAACTGACATCAATATGTGGTCACATGTGAATTTAATTAAACTCTTACAAGCTAACATCTGAAACTAAGTGTATTTGCATGTATAAGCAATCGCACACACCGAAACCATGATGCCTAGATTTATCTTCACATAGCCACTTCAGTATGTGTAAATCGTCTGTTTGTGTGTTTGTATGCACTGCATTGTTTACATTGTGCCTTCCTTTAGGCCTTCATTCTTTTGATTTTCAATTTCTCAATTTGACCTCACACAAACATATGTATTTGCTGATGTCTGTTTGCTGTGTTTACGTGAGACTAGTTTGTTCTCTGACCTTTGTTCTAGTGTGTTTTTGTGTATGACTCAGGGTGTTTACGGTGTGTGAGTGTGCATGTATATCTGTGGAATTAATCCTTTTCTTTTCATCCTTCCTGTATTGTTAATGTGCCAATATCGACCATCCCGCATGGCTATCAATAGCGTAGCCAATAGAGAGAGTCATGTTAAGTAAAATGAAAAATGGAATAAAACAGCATTTAGAACCAAAAGTAAACAAAATATGATGCTGGTTAATAAAGAAAACTTGGTGAACTTCACCTGTCTCGCCTTGAGTGTGCCTCACATATGTCCATATCTTCCTATAAAATGTTATGTTTGTGTATGTGTGTGTGTGTGTGTTTGTGACTTGACCTTAGCGTTTTCTGTTAACCCTAACCTCAACTGTATATGGTTTGGCGATATGATTCACATTTTTCGTTATTATCATTGGGATTGTTAAATTTTCAAGAGTTAGTTTGTGGGGATATGATATATTTTTCAAGTTCGCTCACGGATTGATGTTTGCGTTTCTTGTCAGAGGAACGTCGAGGAAGTGGTACATTCCGTTGGATTTTTGTTAAAGAGCCGTTGGAAACCACCAGAATGTACTGTACACCTGTTTTGTCCCAGTTTGGGACTCATTGACGCTAACCGCCTAACTATCTCTTAAAAATTAATTTGATGCTCGCAAGTAACTGGTTACAGGAAAATGTTATCCGGGGTTCTATTAGGAAGTCGTGACTAGTGGGGTCCATCAGGTCGGCGGTATAAACAAATAAGTACCGCCTATGACATTGACTGGTGCCTGTCGCGCTAAAATCGCCAATTGGTGTAAGTTAGAATTCACGGGCTGGTCACTGAGTCAGGTTCCAGTGGCTGAATGGTGTAGCAGCTTACCTTGTAGTCAAAGGGCCCTGAGTTCGAAGTTGGGTGGTGGGTGGGTACTGCCGATGAGTCCCAAACTAGGAAGAGGTAGCTGTCTAGTACTCCTTGTGTCTGGTTTTCAGTTGCTCTTTAACTGATATCAATCTGTGGTCAACCTTCAAAAGATAAATTTGCTGGTGCTGATTTGCAAGTGAGGTGGGGATTGGATTTACTGATGGTTTGAAGTTTGATCATGAATCAACCGATACACGCACACATGTGTTAGAGTGAAAATCATTGAAAAGCACTACCAGCACCATTGGAGTACTCTGGACCGCTATTTATCCTCCTCATTTAGAAGTGACTGTTTAGCGGTTGTACTCAACCATGAATCCATGAATCCAGCTGTGCTCACCCTGGAGAAGCCTGGAAGAATATTCAGTCAGCTATAGATACAGCTGTAAAAGCTGTGAATAAGACAAATCCAAAGGTGAGTAAAAACCACTGGATTTCGACTGCCTCATCCGAACTGATAGATGCTAGAAGACTTATTCCGGCGAGCTCCGAATTCAATGAGGAGCGAAAGCTGCACAAAAGGAAACTTACTAAAAGTCTCCGCAAGGACCGTGAACAGTGGTGGGTGACAAAGGCGAAAGAGATGGAAAAAGCATTGGCGATAGGCAACACTAGGCAACTCTTTAGACTCATCACAGAATCGGGCGGGAAAAGGCAATTCATAAGTGAGACTATTTCTGAGAAAAATGGCTCCTTAATTAGCTCTCAGGATAGACGCCTTGAACGCTGGAAAGAACACTTTGAGGAACAATTTAACTTGCCTACAGCCACACTGAACCTCCCCGCCATCCACCACGTACCCGAATGGGATATAGACACTGGTCCGCCGTCTGTAGGTGAGGTTACAAAAGCTATCAGTAATTTGAAACGAGGCAAAGCGGCAGGACCCGACGGAATTATTCCGGAGGTGTTTAAATATGGGGGTGACATACTAGTTTGTAGATTAACTGAGGTACTAGGCAAAGTCTGGGAATCAGAGACAGTACCATCAGACTGGGGTAAGTCACTTATTATACCGATATTCAAGAAGGGAAACAAGTCCTCGTGTGATAATCATAGGGGGATCAGCCTAACGAACATAGTCTCTAAAATCCTAGGCTCAGTAATCATGCATAGACTAAGCAGAACTCGGGAGGAACAGACAAGGGAAAATCAAGCAGGCTTTAGACCAGGTAGAGGGTGCATAGATCATATCTTCACTCTTCGACAGATTCTAGAACATAGACACACTTTTCGGCGTCCAACAATTGTCATATTTCTTGACTTGAAGGCGGCCTTCGACTCCGTGGACCGAAAGGTACTATGGCAATGTCTGACTGTGAAGGGAGTGCCAAGAAAGTACATTGCACTAATCAAGGCACTCTATTCAAACTCACGTAGTCGTGTAAGGGCTTATGGGGAATTGTCATCTGAATTAGTAACAACCAGTGGTGTCCGACAGGGATGTCCACTTTCCCCATTTCTGTTTAACTTCATCATAGATATGCTAATGGAAGTATCCTTAACTGAACGTAGTGACTTAGGAATCGACTTGTTACCAGGGAATAATCTAATGGACTTAGAATATGCAGATGACATAGTCCTGTTAGGGGAGGATGCTGACAAAATGCAGAGTCTTCTGAACACCTTGAGCAGCAATCTTCGTATGTTTGGCATGCGATTCGCCCCTGCAAAATGTAAGATGCTGCTACAGGACTGGACCACGTCAACCCCTAACTTAGTGATAGGGAGTGAAGTGATAGAACATGTTGACCACTTCACCTACTTGGGAAGTTGTATTAGCACCAACGGACTGATTGGCGATGAAATCTCAGCACGGATCCGAAAAGCTCGAGCTGCTTTCGCTGACTTACACCATCTCTGGCGTAGGCGTGACATCCGGTTATCAACCAAGGGACGTGTGTACTGCTCATCAGTTCGCTCCGTCCTTCTCTATGGCTCTGAAACATGGCCAATACGCGTTGAAGACATGAAAAGGTTGACTGCTTTCGATCATAGATGTCTGCGATCTCTGTCTCACGTTAGGTGGTTTAACAAGGTAAGTAATGTTGACGTTAGGCGTAGAGTGTTGGGCAAAGAGGGAAAATCAATCGACGAGGTTATAAAGTTACATAGACTAAGATGGCTAGGTCACGTGGTGCGCATGCCTAACCACCGCCTCCCCCGACGGGCATTGTTAGCTGATATAGGTTCAGGTTGGAAAAGAGCCAGTGGTGGCCAAACAAAAACATGGCATCAATCCATGAAATCCTTGACAGTTAAACTGAGTCAGGTAGGGAGATGCAGACTCCCGGGTTGGGGCCCTCGGGACTCTAGGAATCAATGGCTGGAGACAATAGGTGACATGGCTCAAAATCGTTGTCAATGGCGCAGATGTATTCAGTCTCTGTAATCTTTCATATTCCTTTCTACCATTACCCATTCTGTTTCACTCTTATATTTGTCAAACTCTATTAATTCTCTTCACTCATCTTCTTGTCTACCTCTGTGTGCTATTTGGAACGTGGCAACTCGAACTGCTGCACTTCGGTGCCAAGTTCTATGTTGAATCCAGACAGACAGACAGAATCCATTACCGATAAAGAACTAACTGTCCACGAGCTTGTTGACTCCAATCAAGTAGCCTGTACACCTCATTATTATTCCCTTGAGCTCCTTGCAGAGCATAGTGCTTCAGCAACACATCTAAATTCTGCTTACTTCTCTGTCTTTAACCTTACCTGCCTCCGTGACTGCTTATAGGCTTTCATTTTCTCTTCATGCAACCTCTCCCATGTCACCATGAGGCACACATTCGGTCTCCACTTGAAAATCTAGCTGGTGGACGTTATCACTCAACCGTCTCATCGGCTTTATATGTGTGTTTGATTCAACCCCATTTTTTCTTTTTCATACTTGTTGGTTAGTCAATAGTTTTTTGGCTACTGGACAGTTCGAGTTGCTTGATACCTGTCAGTTATGTGGTCTTCAGTAGCGAAGACGACATCTGTTTGTCGGAAGTCTACACAAATCTGCTAGAAATGCTTTTCCTAACGTGTTGAAAACCAACTATTTGGCCTTAAATAATAAATATAAAGTGATAGATCGATGACACAAATTCGTCAGCACTTTCATTTAAATTGTATTGATTATTGTTATTGATTAAAACTTAGACTTGGTACATTACGGGCACCAGCAGGTACACTACACAAAATTGTTTCATAGTTTTTTCGTGGACTGAAATACTGTTCGAATGCTCAGATTGAAGAAGGTGGCCAAACACTTGCTTATAAACTACCTCAGAATTGCCTACTCTCTCTATGATGCCATCGAACACAAGTAACAGTTCTACGGAGACAGCAGAGTGGTTGCACGTCTTCAGCCTAGTGATGCCAGAACAAGACTGCACGCTCACCGGAGCGTTGTAAATCCGACTTTTGACAGTCAGGCGAACGTCGCCACAGCACCAGAGGTGACTCAAATTATCGCTTACCACCTTAGCTTTCATTACGTGATTAGAGATCTCATCCGACATACCTCCACCAGCATTCACACAAATACCATCATAGATACACGGTCTGTTTCACAAATTCAAGCGATTCACTTGCATGGGGAACAATGCAGGTACAGGCTCCTATCAATCTTGCAACAGTACTGCTTTGCAGCTAGACGATAGCAGATCGTTGTGTTAATCAATTAAACTTTGTGTGTATGTGTGTGTAATCTATCTCATTCTTTTTTCTTTCTTTCTTCCTATGCACCGTGTTCAGGTACAATTCGTCGACGATTTAATAAACCTGCAGCTGCTATACGTGCACGTATGGCACAAAAGTGCAAAGATGAAAGACGTTTTGGTCGTGCCTTACAAAATCCTAGTCTTCATAATTATTATTCTTCAGTAGATGGTGCATATGAAATCAATGATTGTCATTCCCCTGTCGCCGCGATTACACCATGTCGATCTGGTGGTGGGATAAAAAGAAAATCAAAGAAACGATTATTAACCTCTTCTGCTGGTCATTCAAATATAAAGACTTCATCTGATTCTATGAATGGAATCAAAGAACAATCAAATACTCCAACAAATAATAATAATTGTGGTACTGTGTATCAAATTCATACCATGAATGGTGATGATGCCTATTCCTCATCCACAACAACAACAACAGCTGATTCCAATCAACTCCCATCGATGGTCCACCAAAGTTTCGATGAAGATAATGATCGTCGTAGTTTCATTCCATCCTCATGTGTTTTAGATGATTCTTCATCCTCAGGAGGAGGTGGGGGAGGACTAAGTCATCAGTCCGATGTGAATTATGCGGATAATTATTATCATTCTATAAATAGTGATGGTAGCGGCGATCAGATCATCACGTTCTCATCAACGTCATCAAAGTTTGTGGTGAATGATGGAGTGGCCAGTACTACTGATAATAGTAGTCACAGTAATAATAATGATGATAATAATAATCGTAATCTGGGTAAGTGTATGAACCATGGATCCATTGGATCCTCCTCACCAGCATGTATCTTTTCTAATAACAATAGTGATTATTATTATGAAATATCTTGTGGATATCAAGGACAACATCAACAATAATAACTTGCATCTTCCTGTGGTGGCGGTGGCGGTTGATTGACTGATGTTTGTCTCACCTCCCCCCACTCTCCGTTCGTCTTCACAAAAAATCAATAAGCGACCTTTTTCTGTATTTTTGTAGTCCCGAATATCATCACCCCTCCGCCTTCCGAAGAAAAACGAAGGTTTTCTTATCAGTTACTTGTATACGCCTTTTAATATTGTCATTATTATTGTTACTATTATTTTTAGAGAATTATTATTATTACTATGTAATCACACCATGGTGCCTCTTTTTTGTTAATTTTAATTGCAGTAATGACAATGATGCTAATAGGGATTGATAATATTTTCTAATGATCCCCCAGTCTATCACTTCTGTATTTGGAATGCAGCATTTTCTCTTGTTTGGTGTGTGTCCTTTGATTGGTTGGTCGCTGGTTTGGTTGTGTGGTTGGTCTTTGAAGCATTGTCATACACTTTTCCCCTCTCTTGAGAGGCTGCTGCTGCTAATGTGTGCGTGTGTGTGTGTGTGACAAGGAAGGATGTTGATGACTGAGTGAGTATTTGTGTACACTGTTCATCCATCCATCCATCCATGCACCTCCAGGAGGGTTAAACAGTTAAACAGGTATTTGTAAACACACACACACGATAGTCCACCCTTTGCTTTCATCACTGATTGACTCAGCTTTCTCGATCTCGTTTTCCTTTTTGTTTTTCTAAAACATACCCCAGCAAATCTATTTTTCAATGAAAAAATATAGGAGACAAAGATGCTGTGCTTTTTCTGTCGTCATTTGCACATATACACACACACATAATAAGTGCAATTTTTGGTGGCTGCATCACACACACTACACACCTCGTTTATTTCCGTGCCTCTCAGTACACATTTTATTATTATTATTATTAGCGTTATCACTATGGTGGAATAGATCAGTATTCCTGCGTTTTTTATAATATACAATTGATCACTAAACGCATTCGATCTCTTTTCTTTCCGTTTTCCCATTTATGTGTTTTGTATTTCGGACATATTACTCGTAACAATGATGCTACTGCTTATACTACCATTATTCTTATAGTTTTCAGTAGTATGCAACAATTTCCTATCAGTATTATTTTTATTATTTTTGATTGATTTTCTTATATGTACACATGTGTATATGAATGATGTTATATGGTTGCACTTTTGTTTTATATAATATTTTTTGGAAGTTTCTTCGCTGGTTTTTATTTTGTCACCTCTCCACCCGCTCGTATATTACTCAACTTGTTTTTTTGTAATCATATGCCCTGATGAAGCCCCGTTAGAAACGGATGCATGGGTGGGCGGGTAGTGTGAATTTAATAACATTCCGATTTATCTTTCTGTCGCTTTCTCTCTCTGCCTCCGTATATGTCTGTTGGAATGATGCCTAATTTGTTTTCTTAAGTAAATGCTTCCCTGCCCACCACCGACTTTCAGTGTATTTTTTGCCTTGTGGTTTACTGTTCTTTAGTGTGTGTGTGTGTTTGTTAGTTGGAGGATGCTTGTGGTTATCTTTGAGGCAATGGCCTGCAGTCTTCCATTCTGTTTCACTCTTTTGCCTATACAACAAATATTTTTCCTAATTTGAAACTAATTTTTATCCAAAAAAGCTATTACTAATGGAGGTATGTGTAACAAGAGTGGTAATGAGTGAATATGTGACAGAGAATATAACGCTGGCTTCTATCTACCTTCACATATGCGGTAGAGGGAGGGATTAAGCAGCTAAATTATCTGTACAGACACGGACGTCGTACACACAGAGACAATTATCCGTCTTCTGCTTTCACTGATTGATTCAGCCTTCTCGATCTCATTTTTGGTCGTCATCATTTACACACACACTCACAATATATATATATATATATATATGGTGGTTATATAACGCACTTCACACTCCTTTTATTTCTGTGCCTTCCAGCACAAAATATTATTATTATTATTACTAATATTGTTATGATCCGATGAATCAGTATTTATGTTTTTCTATTATCTACAATCGATCTCTGAACACATTCAACCTCTCTTGCATATCGGATTTATTTATTACTCATAATAATGATACCACTACTACTATTATTATTATATCCAGTAGTATGTGACATTACCATTAGCATTGTTATTATTACTTTAATTATTTTTTGAATTTCCTTACATGTGCACACGTGTACATGAATGACTTTATTTATATGCTGCTTATTACATAAATTTTTTCTGACTTTCTTTATTAATGTTCAGCTATCAATTAAATTACTTATTGTATACTTTCAATCAAATTGTGTCTTTGTGCGTGAGTGCATATGGCGGTAACATTTATGTTATTGGGTTTCATTTTCCACACCTCCATCCACTTAGTATATTACTCAATTCATTCTTTTTTTTAAGTTACAACCTGTGGTGGGAAGGGTTAGTGAGCGATGTTAACATTCCTATTTTTTTTCTCTCTCTCTCTCTCTCTGTAGAAATAGTGCCTCCACCCTGGTCACACACACACTCTACACATGTGTTTCTTATCTGTGTCTTGTGCTTTATGTCTGTTTCACTACCAGTGCGTGTGGATGTGCGCACGTCGGTGTATGTGTGTATAAACATTCCTGTTTTGTGTCATTCCTGACTTCTATCTATTCAATCCGTATTTGTGTGTGCGTGGGTGTTTTATAATTTTCTAGGGAATAATAATAATGTGACAACTCCGGTGCCTGTATTTTTTATCCCCCTCTCAATAATAAAACTGCCTTACTTGTTATAAATGTTGTGATCTCATTATGCCTTGCAGAAATATATCAGCAATACATGCTTGACTGACGGACTCAATCACTCACTCACTGATTAAACTTACTTACTTGACCCCCTTACTTCCCTACTTGGCTTCCTTCTTACCGATTCTTTCTCGTTACTCCCTTTTTTTATCGTCATCCGTTTTTCTCTTTTCCCATCATGATTATGTAATCAGTTTCAGACTTACTGAAACTGACGGAACATAGTCCCAGTGATGAGCAAAGACGGGAGGAGGATTTCTGTTTCTATGCTTGACACAGAATATGCGTCTAATAAAACATTAAAGCATACCAAATCAAAGTTTTTTTTGCGGAGCTTTTTCTCTCTCCAAAAAATCCTTTTTCTATTCACCGTTTTTCACGTATTGGCTTCTTCTACTACTACTACTACTTTACAAGTGCACTTTGTTTCTATGGTTTCATTTATGCAAATCAAACTGGACTTATGTAATGTTTACGACAATAGTAATCACAACAATATTGTTGTTAAACGTTAATAAAAGTATGCTTTCATTATATTATTTTGGTCTGATGGTGGGTGGTTAACAGTAGGATCCAAGATCTTGGAGCGAGTATATGTGTTTTGATCACGCAGCCGTGTAATAGCTTACGTAGAGTTGTCATCTGACAAATATGATGACAGCCAATGGTGTCCGTCGGGAATGCCCACTGTCCCTTTTTCTGTTAATTTTTATCATCGATGTATTCTGAGAATTAATCTTAAAGGACTTTAGTGACTAAGGGATTGAATTGCTACCACCAGGGAATAGTCAGGTTGACTTAGAGAATGAGGATGATATAGTCTTCCTAGGTGAAAACGTTGATAAACTGCAGAATATTGTGAACCCCTTGAACAGAAATCTTCGTGTGTTTGGCATGTGATTTACTCCTGTCGAATATAAGATGATGCTACAGGGCTGGACTACATCGACTCCTAGCTTAATGGTGGTTAGGCAATAAAGTAATGAAACATTTTGGCCACTTCAGTTATTTTGGAAGTTGCATCTGCCCCAGAGTATTGATTACCGACGAAATCTCAATATCGATACAGTACTGATACAACAAATGCTCATTTATCATTTGCCAACTTCATCTATGTGGCACTGACGTCCTATATCCGGTTCTGTGTTAAAAGAGGTGAGTAATGGTTGAGCGTGACATGGCCATTGAAGGTGGAAGATATGAAATGCGTAGTTAGCCATCTTTCATCATACGTATTTTCGTTTTATTTCCCACTTTAAGAGTAGTATAATATGATGAGTAATATTGACGTTAGGCGCTGCGTACTAGATAAGGGAGGAAAGTCAGTCTCGATGAAGCTGTGAAGCAGATGCATCGATTGAGTTGGTTAGGATATGTGTTACTATCGATATTATTTTAATGACTAACCAAAAGGGTTGGGCCATTGTAATACATTCACTTGAATGTTATCACACAATGCGATGTGAGTGGGAAGGGTAAATGCATTAAAAGTGATATAATTACTTGGAGAAAAGTGTTAATCCTCGAATCTTTATTTATAGAATCAACACACAGACAGACATCAAAAAGCTGCAAACGAAATGACTCAACACGTATTCCGTGGATATATATATATATATATATATATGATTGCACACTAGTCAGTAACTAGTGTAATGTGTCTAGTCCTATCTTCACTGCAAACTGAATTCTATCAGTCAAGCTTGCAATGTGGCCATCGTGCTAGGTAGCTCACGATTACGGTGTTACTGACTAGTCTGCAATCAAAAATATCCAATATAGTCCTACAAGAGGTCAGTCGCGAGCCTGAATAACTCAGTGGTAACATCTCTGACTGCAGCACTGGGTGACGCGGGTTCGAATCTCAGGAGGGACATGAGTTCCTTCAAGGTTGCAGATACGCCTTGCTGATGAGTGCCAACTAGGACGAAAACTAGGTCGAAGGCTTCCTGCCGATTGTCTCCAACCATACAATACCAACAATACATATATATATGTGTTTATATACATAGAATATTCTAGATCAGTATGTGTTTTTTAAATAATATCGATTTGTAAAGTAAGATCAATGGAATTATAGTTCATTAAAGATGCTTAAATTATAATAATAATAATAAAAATACTATACCAAAAGAATATCAGCTAAAATTACGAAAATACCACAATTCATTCAAACCTAGATGGCCAAGCTAAGGACAATGTCTGAACTAAATTCTTTTGGATGCACAAATTAGGCTTCTTAATCTGGATCCCAACAGCCTCAGCAATATTTAGTCGTCGAACTCTTAAGGCGAAATTAAGTTTTGTTGGTATGCGGTAAATGACCCTGAAAGCCTGGTTAACGTCAATCTTGTGTTCTGTATCCACAAGATGAGATAGAATAGATTTTGTTTATCCTTTTCTTAACCACACAGGGTGATGTTCGGAATTTCGACGAGAAACACGCTTAATTGTACGGCCTATTTAACTGGCTCCACAGGAGCTTCTTAAATACCAGATCCCACCTGGATGGTTGTCTTTTACATCTTCATCCGTACTGTTTCACTTGTATAGTTGGAATGAATGTAACCATTTTCTATCTGTCTCTTCATCATACATAACCGATCGATAATTACGAAGGGTTTATTGATTTCTTTCTATTATTATTATTAAAACCAGGCATTCAATATGATACTCTCATGTGTAAAAATGAAGAAGAGGATGTTGTGTAACTTTAAAAAAAGAAGAGATCATAATACACCATCATTTTTGTTTTTGCACCATATGAGATCATGCCTACACACTATTATTATCATTAATAATATTTGATATTTTACCTCCCTCATCTGATTCCTACACTCTTTTGGTTCTGTTTCGATTGATTGATTCATCTATGTGCATTTATGTATATGTGTATACTGCAAAGGAATAAAAATCTTGTCCCTTTTCGATGTTACATTTGGTTGCGTAATTCACTACTCTACTCTCTTGTTCCGCTTGCCTGTTCCTCTGACTATCCTGTCTTTACTGTAGAAGTAGAATTCAATTAAGTGTTAGCATTTAGCTACCCAGTTGACGAGTGCTAACAAGACAGGGCTTCTCTGATCCTAGCGGGTTTACTGGATGACGACGCTTCTGAAAATACACAACTGCGAAACTTGATTTTTAATAGCTCGCTTTCTTCTTCCCCATTTTTCCAATTGTATATATTCTCTATCCCTCTCTCCCTCGTGCGTCGGTGGCATAGCGGTTAGCACGCTCGCCGATCATGCACATGGTCCGGGGTTCGATCCCCGCCCGACGCACTCCTTTACCTTGCTAAGCCACAAATAATGCTGGTAAAGAGGAAAGGTTGGGTATGGGGCTAGCAACCCCATCCTGTAAAAATAAACACTGCTACGGAAACTTCAAGGTACTAGCTTGAAGCCCTATGTTCCACTGGGGAACGTCAAGGAAAAAAAACTCTCCCTCAACTGGTTTGATAAATAAAGCATCGGTTACTAACCTAAACCTTTCAAACTCTGTTATATAGTAGATTTCAGGACTGTCATCTCATCACGGTTTAAATGCCTGTATGGTTGTGTATGTGCGCGTCTGTGTTTGCATGTGGAGTGCTATACCTGAACCTCCTTTCAATATCATTTCATATCTTTCTAATGTAGGGTCAACTAATCTAGGTTTTTTCAAATCGTGGAAAATACCCATTGGAACATTAGATTGAAAAGAACAAGAAGTTCAGCCAAGATATCTTCGGCGATTTCATTCTCAAAAGCAGCTGTACAATCGCATTTATTTAGATTAATTTAAATGGATACAATTCTTATTTGTTTAATTCCACATAGTAACGAAGATGATAATAATTTTCAACTTGATGTGAAAGTTTGAAGGTACGAGTATAGATTATAGATTACAAGGGGCTTAGAGAGACAAGATTGCATAAGATTAGAAAACAGTTACAACGTATGCAAAATACTCGCATGATGGAGCATTTGCCAAAATGGTTGAAAACAGCTGAGTGCAAAGTCCCAAAATCCTCAATAACAAAACATCTCGTGGATTACGGACATGATATCGACGCCGTCAAGTCATTCACCATCGTCAGCAAACAAAGAAACAAGAAGATGCTTGCAATTGCAGAGGCTTGTGCAATTCGAATTTACAAACCAGCCCTCTGTATACAAAAGGAGATGGTCGTCACTCTGAATCTACCATGGTAATACGCTTTACTTATTATTCTCTACTATTATTCTACCTCTTCTTATTATTATTTTTGTTATTATTACTACCATTATTATTATTATTATTCTTGATTCATTTAAATCTATGCTTTATCCGTAAGATTATCTTAACTCACTTCAACACTATTATTATTATTGTTATTAAAACTATTACTATTGATATTAGCCTGTTTGCAATTCTTGTTATATTCTCTAATGACTAATTGTTTATCTAAGTGATGTAATTGAAGCGTAATGCAATTTATCTTAATTTTGATCTCTCATACTCTCTCTCTCCCCTTAACTATTTGAACATGACCTGAAAAATATTCGCACCTGTCTCTCTGCATGATTAATTCAATGTAGTTTGTTTACTTATCAGTCTTATATCTCCCTATGTAATTTCAAAAGTATATATATTCGTGTATGTAGAGTATTCAACTTATCAGTCTTATATCTCCCAATGTAATTTCAAAAGTATATATATTCGTGTATGTAGAGTATTCAGCTGACGAGTTCTACCGAAATTTGATGAATTCATTAAATCCTGCTTTATTAACCTTTATTGCTTGTTTTAATATTTGATAACTGGAGAATTAATTTTAAAGGCGAATAAAAGGTGATAATTGTTTTCAACTTGATATGAATTACAATAGGCTTAGAGACGCAGGGACAGAACGCATTACAGGCGTGAACAAAATGAGCGTGGAAACTAATTGGAATAATAATTTTCAACTCCAGATGTAAGTTAGCAGGTGTAAACATCGGTTACAAGAGGCATAGAAACAAGAAATTACACAGGATTAGAATATAATTGTCAAATAGCTATTCTAAAAGGATTACAAGTGTCATCAGGAGGAGCATGGAAACAAACTAAAAATATTTGATTTTATAACCGAAAAAAATGGGATGAACTGAATGAAGACAAAGAGAGAGAAACACAAACACACAGAGAACAAAACAAAAAATCTGAAGGATAAGGGAACATACCGAACTAGGTCCATGGTAGTTGTAACGGCTGGACTAGTTTCTTTTGAACAAACAGCTTCGGCCTTACGATGCATATAGTGAGAGCTTCCTCAGTACAAAGAAATCGGAAACACACTGTCTTTGGTAGATTCTTTACTTTGCAAATGACTCTGAATAATGAGTTGGTTGAGATTCTGTGACAGGTATTGACGAGGTGTTCAGTTATCGCGCTTCTGATTGAACCAGTGCCTCCTCTTTGCACCCATGCTGGATGATGTTCTCTAACATATTTTGATAAAACCCGCATAGAACGACCTATGTATCTAGCTCCACAAGAGCAGCTGAACTGATAAATGCACACTGAAGTGGTCATATGTGGAAATCTGTCCTTCCCGTTGCTCCGAAGTAGTGGTTGGCTGCAGAATATCACTCTTAGAGTTGCTGCCGGAAAAGTCTTCTTCAGGGAATTGGAGATTCTCCTTTTAAGGATATCTGCTGCTGGGTCTCTCCTGAATTCCAGATTCAAATAGAGTGTCTTCTTTTGCACTGAAGCGTATTCTTTTCTTTTTGGCCTTCGTTTAATTTAGATTTTGCTAAGTTTTTGTTCTCTGCGAATGTAACTGATCTCATCCTACTACTTTGACCTACATATGTGACCTCGCTCACAATCACTCCATGGAAATCGGCGAAGAATCTAAATCATACGAAAGAATAATTAGAACATGAGGCCAAAGAAGCTTCAACACTTAATAATTACCCTGATAAATTAATCAGGAAATATATGGTAATTATTAATAATCTTAATCATAAGGATGGTATGCGTGACAAACATACATACATAGATAATAATACACCAAGAATAGAGACTTTAAAAACTTCAGTTGTAGTGCTGCCATATGAAGAAGAAACCTCTAAAATCACCTTAGGTAGATTTTTTAACAAAGCGGGAATAAAATCGGCTGACATTGTAAACAGCCATAAATCAACTTAAACAAAGTCATTATGTCAGTTAAATAGTGGTTCTTTTCTAACACATTAAACAGATTGATTCCGTTTATCTACCAGATATGCTGCAAAATTTCCTGGTTAGGTAGAATACATCGGTTAGACTAGTAGACCACTAGGGTCAATTAGCTGATGATTATTATTAATATATCATTCTTCCCTTAGGCTCCTACTGATACATAAAGCTTCAACAGTACGACGTCAGTGAGTCTGTGATTTTGGTATCATTCTAGTTAACTGTGCTGAACTATATTGCATGTTGTTTTATTGTATCGTTGTTGTTGCTTTTTGCCCTTTTTGCTGTGAATTGTTTTCCTTTTGTTGGTGTTGTTCTGATTGTTTTATCCCTTGTTATCTGATTTTAAGGGGAGCAACCCAAAAGGTAGCTTCTCTCTAAACTTTATCTTAATGTAATCATTCCTTTCTCAGGCGTGAGGCTAGCAACCCCACCCTGTAAACAATATTGCTACAAAATCTTCAGCACGATGAACCACTTTGCACCAAAAGAAAAAGTCTGTGTGGGAACATGGAACGTCCGAACTATGTACGAGACAGGGAAAGCTGCCCAGATCGCCAACGAGATGAAAAGATACGGAATACAAGTGCTGGGAATATGTGAAAGCAGATGGAATGGGAGTGGACTCACCAAATTGTCAACGGGTGAGTCAGTGATCTACTCCGGTCACCCAGAAGATAACCACACGCACACCGAGGGCGTGGCTATCATGATGTCACCAACGGCAACGAAAGCCCTGATACAATGGGAGGCGATTTCGTCCAGGATAATGACCGCCAGATTCAACTCCAAAGGAAGGAAAGTGTCAATCATACAATGTTATGCACCCACAAACAACGCAGACCTCGAGAAGAAAGAAGAATTCTACAGGCAACTACAGGCAACAATGGACAATACTCCAGCTGGCGACATGAAAATACTAATGGGAGACATGAACGCCAAACTGGGACCAGACAACACAGGAAGGGAACTCATCATGGGTAGAGAAGCTCTAGGAGAAATGAATGAAAACGGAGAACTCTTCGCCGACTTCTGCGCCTTCAACGAACTGGTGATTGGTGGCAGTGTATACAAGCACAAAGATATCCACAAGGCTACATGGGTGTCACCAGACGGGCAAACCAAAAACCAAATCGACTTCATCTCAATCTCAAGGAAGTGGAGGCGCAGCCTACTGGACACAAAAGCAAGAAGAGGAGCAGACGTTGGCTCAGACCACTATCTCGTACAAGGGACAATCCAAATCAAATTAAAAGCTTTCAGGGAATCAGGAGCTGCAGATAGACCACAAGCCAAGTTCAACACTCAAAAGCTGAAGGACCAGGCTACAAAGGACATCTTCATTGCAAGCATAAAGGACAAAGCCGAGACACAAATCAACACCAGCGAAGAGGTCGGCGTCGAAAAGCACTGGAACAACTTGAAAACGGTGTGGAGCCAAACCTGCATAGAAATTCTAGGCAGAAAAAAGAGACAGGACAAACAGTGGCTCACTACGGACACTTGGAAACTAATAGAAGAGAGAAGGACAGTGAAAAAAAAGATTATCCAGTGCACTGACGAGCAACAAAAACAGGAGCTGAATGCAAGCTACAATACACTGAACAAAAGAGTGAAGAAGAGTGCCAGGGAAGACAAAAGAAAATATTATGAAACCATGGCAAACGAAGCAGAACAAGCTGCAGGCAAAGGAGACCTCGCCACACTCTACCAAACAACTAGGCACCTTTCGGGCAAACGTTCGACACAGATTAAGCCAATAAAGGACGACAATGGAAAGTCAATCACCAAAGAGGTGGAACAGAGAAAGCACTGGGCTGAACACTTCAAAAGACTTCTAAATCGTCCGCCACCTACAACACGCCCAACAATACCAACAACGGAAGCAGAACTACCAGTGAACACTGACCCCCCGACGAAATCAGAAGTCCTGAATGCAATCAAGATGCTAAAAGCTGGGAAAACACCGGGACCAGATGGAATCCCAGCAGAGGCTTTGAAAATAGACCCAGAGACAACAGCGGACTTGATGACACCACTACTGGAGAAGGTGTGGAAAGAGGGCAAAGTACCCGAGGATTGGAAGAACGGATACTTATTCAAACTTCCAAAGAAAGGAGACTTAAGTCAATGTAAAAACTGGCGTGGAATTATGCTTCTGTCCATTCCAAGCAAGATACTAAGTCGCATCATCCTGGAGAGAATCAAACAAGCCCTAGATGAAAAACTTCGTCCGGAACAGGCCGGATTCAGGAGAAACAAATCATGTATTGATCAAATCGCCACTCTACGGATCATCATTGTGCGTCGGTGGCACAGTGGTTAGGACTCTCGCCGACCATGCACATGGTCCGGGGTTCGAGCCCGCACCGACGCACGTCTGATATCTATGGTCGGCCTGCAAAATTTGGGCTACCGATATCCATGCTCCAAATTCCATACTTGTACCGAAAATACAGTGTGGAATCAAGCTGTAAATCAAAGAACAAAGCTTGGAATGGAAGTCACCTCTCCACCTCACTCAACTTCAGCGACTTTGAAAAGGCCTTCGACCGCGCCGCGTCGATCGAGAGGTCATTTGGGAACTACTTCGCTACTACGGAGTCCCATCGACAACTATACATCTCATCCAACAGTTATACGACAATGCTGCATGCCAAGTAATCCACAACGGGAAACTTACGGAAGCCTTCGAAGTGAGGACGGGAGTGAGGCAAGGCTGTCTACTATCGCCAATGATCTTCCTGATTGCAGTAGATTGGATAATGAGACAGACAACGGCAACCAACGAGGGAACAGGCACAAAATGGACTCACACAAAGGATTTGGAGGATCTGGACTTCGCCGATGATATATGTCTGATCTCCCACAAACTGGAAGATATGCAAGTGAAAAGCAACAAGTTGACAGAAGAAGCATCCAAAGAACATAGGACTTCAGGTGAACATAGATAAAACAGAGGTGATGAAGATTCCTGGCCAACACCAACAGCAACAACAGACGACAGTCAGCATAAATGGGAGGAACCTGAAAGAAACAACCTCCTTCACCTACCCACCTACCTGGGAAGCATCGTTTCAACTACAGGCCGACGGAACTGACGAGGATATCAAAGCCAGAATCGGAAAAGCAAGGCAGGCTTCCATTACTCTTAAGTCTGTGTGGAGGTCAACAACACTCAGCATCAAAAATAAGATCCAGATTTCCAACTCCAAAGTGAAGTCAGTCAGTGCTACTATACGTATCAGAGACTTACACTGTGCGTCATAAAGAGCATCTCAAACAAACTTCAGACCTTCATCAACAGTTGTCTTCGCTCAATACTCAAGATCAGATGGCCAGAAAAGATCAGCAACAGGGTGGGATCTCTGGTAATGACCGAACTAACCAGGAACAAATAAGCAGGAAGAAATGGAGATGGATTGGTCACACCTTGAGGAAACCATCAAGCGACATCACTAGACAAGCCCCCGAGTGGAACCCGAAAAGGAAACGACGAGTTGGTCGTCAGTGCAAGGGTGACTTGGAGGAGGTCATGCGAGGAGGAGATGAAAGCATGTGGGCAGACTTGGAGCGGAGTGAAAAAGTTAACAGAAAACCGAAGGCAATGGAGGTGCGCAGCTGAAGCCCTATGTTCCTCTAGGAACTAAAGGATATAATAATAATAATAGCACGACTCCACTTTTTCCTATTGTCTGCAGTCTCTCATCTGGGTTCCACTCGAGCAATGGCCTGGCGCTCAGTGTCACTCGACGGCCTCCTCAGTATGTGCCCAGCCCATCTCCACTTTTCTTCTGCATATTTGCTGAGCAATAAATAGGTCCTTGGTTAGTTTGTTTCCATAGCCTCGTGCTCCTAATTCTTTATGGTCAGCTGTTTTTCAGTATGGAGCCAGTGAAGTCAGATGTTAATAAAAGTTTAAAGCCTATTCGAAATGCTTTTCGTGACACCAACGCCAAGTTTTTGACCAACATAGAAGAACCGAATGATTTAACATTGTTGTTGAAAATCTGAATCTTGTTCTTTATGCCGAAGCGGAGTGGAGAAGATTTCCAAACTGATATCACAGTGGCGAGGGTGTATCTTGCCTTTCCCATTCTGCTTTTGATATCCTCATTTGTTTCACCTGTATTTGAAACGATTCTGCCTAGATGAGTGAATGAAGTGACCTGTTTCAATTTTTCCCGTTGACAGTTGTTGTTGTTGATTGGTTGTCTTCATCACCTCTGTCTTCTCAATATCCACCTGTCTTCTCTACTTTCCTCTTCAGTCAACTTGTTGGTGTGTTTGCCTTTGCGTTTGTGTGACAGTAGACATAAATCGTCCTCAAATTCCAGATCTCCTACAGCATTGTCATCGATCCAACGTACTCCTGCCTTCTGGATTCCTACAGTCTCCTGAATAATCCAGTCGACAGCAGTCAGGAATATCATGGGAGATAATATGCAGTCTTGTCCTTCTCATTCCTGTATTCCAATGGTTTCTCTGTGTTTTCCGTTGTGGATCACTTCACATGTGGCAGTGTCATATAGCTGTGGTTAAATGAGGTTGATAAAGATTTGGGGCACGCCGTAGTGTTGAAAGTAGTTTCCAAATTACGTCTCCGTCAACACTATCTGTCGAAGTCCATAAATTTGATGGAGTTTAGAGAGGTTTGGCCACTATTCTATGCTTTGTTCTGTGATGACGATGAGTAGAGTTGCAATTTGATCAGCACATGATTTGCCTATCCTGAATTCAGCTTGTTCCGATGGGGGGGGGCAGGGGGGGAGTTTTTATCCAGTGCACCCTCTCTCCAGAGACAATGTGCAATCCATTGGAAGCATTTGCAGTCCATTATTACGGATTTACTTCAACACATGCCTTTGTTGTCCCATTAGCGAGTATCAGATAGCAACACAGAACTCAAGTAGCGAAGGACTCACTGCCCCCAAAAATATGGAGAAGTAAATGGTGACAAGCCCGATGCGTGGCAACTTACCAATGGTACTCTAGTGGGAAACGAAGAGTTCGTTGGGGGACAAGGGTGATATGGAGCAGACAGTCACTCACAGCCCAAAGGGATTATGATTCTGTGAATAATAGAGGCAAAAAGATGGATCGATTTGCGTTAACAAGGATAAGGAAAACTGGTCTGATTTATATAAACAAACGTTTGGGTAGTCGTAGTAGTAGTAGTAGATAGAGGCTAAAAAAAACAAATAGCCAGACTACATAATCCTGGATTGTTGCGGGGATGTAAATAAACTAAATTTTCGATGAAAATACAATCAGAAAAGGAATAAAAGTTTATAATAATCGGTTGTAATGGTAAAGCTAGTTGGTTAGGTGTTCTGTGCTCCCTGAAGAGATAATGACTGTACGGACTTCTCCTGAATGCATAGTTTAAGCTTAACAGTTCGAATGTTAATCCATCCAATCACATGAAGTAGACAAATATAGAGACCAACATATATCACCATCACTGATCGTTAGACAGGTCAGATGCCATCAAATACACCAGCTGTTCGACAGACTTTCTACAAAATACATACCTTTTGTCTTTCCAATGAATTTCAGCAATAAACCTCTGCCTACTCATAACGAGCTAGTGAAGCTTGGAGGGAATAGCTTAAGATGAGATGTATGAATTCTGTTGGGGAACTAGTGAGAATCAGCATGAAGTACTGGATCGCTGTTTCATTCTCCTAGTTTGGAACTGACTTCAGCAGTCAGCTACTCGTGACCAAACCCCCGCAAAGCAACATACACTTCAAAATTAGTCAAATAAGGGCACTAGTGACTAACTGACTACAGCCTGAAGTCGTAGTAAGAAGTGATCAGTAGGGTTCACGAAGTACAGGAGGGGTTGAGAATTGATACTCACAGATGGCATTAGCTGGTGGTGGCCGCGTTAAATATCGCCCAAGGAGAAAACTCTTCAGTCTGAGGCAGGATATCTAACACTTTTCCAATATTGCCACGCCTAAGCTTTGTGAAATTATACATGTCGCATTTATTCCAGGAACAAAGGCTGTCGCGTGGTGATTGATACCATGGCTTTATTGATTTATACACAAACTTCCTAAAGAATATGGGCACCACATAAAAACTAAACCCATAATATGTAAAGAAATTAGGGATAGAATAGATGAGGGGGGCATTCAGAGAGCTTGTGAGCACACTTGTCAACACCATTCAAGAGAGGGTGGTTTATGACTACTTCATTCCACTATCAGAATGAAGAAAAACTAGGGAAATGCAACATGTTTGCCGTGCGATTACAGTTCGCAGACATATCTGATGAAGTTTCAAGACACTGATTCGAATTATCCATCTCTCGTAACACTCTAACTTCGATAACCTAATAACATCCATTATCCATCATCGTATGATGGAAAGGAATGAGTTGACCACACACTCTCCCTCCACCTTTTTTAAGTGAGAAGGTTGAACATGATTATAGCGACCCCATCAAGTATAAAGAATACCCGGAACTCCAAGGCTTGAAACAGTATCTTCTAGTCGGAACGGAAGGAATGAAAATTATGTTTGCCAACAGTGACAGATCATCCCAGTTGAATAAATTCAATAATAACACGAAACGACACCTCCGTGTTACATCAATCGCAGCCCACAGTTTCATTTCGTATTAGTCAGTCAACTACAGTTGGTCCGTCAGTGGTCATCTAGTAGAATGATTGCTAGTCACACGTGAGGTGTCCGGTTTCTATTTCCAGTCGCTGACACGGAAAAGATGGAAGCTTTTCCATGAGGCTAACCAGAAACTTAAAGCTGTATGTTTCGTTCGGGGCGCAGACAAATGAAAAACAAACCCACCAATTATAAATGCACTATCAAACTGAGGAGGACATAATAAAAATTACTTATTAGAAACCATGAGCATGATTCAGAACTTGTCTTGCAACCGTGTGGATTGCATCATCTAGTCCCTCAATAAATCATACATATTTAAGTGTGCCCTCAAGTATTTGCTTAACCAAGACTTTGTTGACACCATCCTCTCCTCTCAGTGGCTATGATTCTGTACACGACCTTCTGCCTGATAAATGTGATAGATTCAGCGAGGATTTGGTATATCCTATATATTCAGTCGAGCGGTGTTTTGGATTGACCAGTTGCATAGTAGTGGCTTGCTTCATCGTGGTTTGTTGCAAGCATCTTCTTCTGCATAAGAAGTCGGCCACCAGCTCACAGTCTGATGAAGTGGAGGTAGTTCTTTGTAGCCTTGGAAGTATGGCACATCCACCTCCATCTTGGGGTTCTTTGACACGAAACGACTTATCCTTCCCTATGCTGCCTGACGTGGTTGGGGAGTGCCCGAGTCATCTAAAAGTCAATTATCACACAGTCATCCGGTAGATCAGCACAGTACCGAGTTCCTGTCACAGGATGTATATAGTTTAGGTCTCATTCTGTATGACTTGTTCACTGGTAAACGACCATACATTGGATGTAGCCCTTCCTTAATCTTTTTGAAGAAAATGATTCATTTGGATTTCCTTCAGTTGTGAAATAACAATAACGCTCATCCATCAATTCCTTAAATAGAAATTTGTAATGCTTGCACACACAATAATCCAAAACAGCGTCCATTTTCAAAATATTTATCAAATAGGTCATGGATACAGCATGGTTTCGACAGATCCACCACAAGTAAAGAATTAGATTCCTTTTGAGTTAAAGTAAAATGCAAAGGATAATCAATTGGAAGATGTTACAGAGAACGGTCGTTTTCTCAGTTGACGCAGTTTGTACCTGCTGACGTATTTTATTGAGCAGATATGAAAATTTGGTACCTTCAGATGTATCTCGAGAATTACGGTAAGTCCCTTTTTATGCGTTTCTATGTCATGGTTATGGTTTCAATCTAGTTAATGATCGTGTAGAATAGCGTTGGACGAACTTAGGCAAAAACAAAAGTTAGAACGTCGTGGGCTTCAGACTAGACAGTAAAGAGAAATGCAATATATAGAAAAGGAACTGGATGTGCTAAAACTGAGTAATGATGTTAATCAAGTTTCTTCGTGTAACGACGATGGGTAGTTGTAGGACTCAGCTGGCTCATACACTAATATGAAGACTGGTTGTGCCTCCAAAGTATCGGATATGTTTGATAGTCATGACAATGCAAGAGATGCAAAAATGTCACCACTCCGTGTTGGCCTAGAGCTGCCAAAGGTGGAACTATACTCGTTTCATGGACAGCCGGGCAAATATTGGAAGTTTATGAAACAGTCTGAGATTTATTTAGTGTCCAATGTACAGGTTGACGGATAGTGCCTCTTACATTTGTTGCATTATTATAAAAGCAATACCAGGGAGGCCATCGAAGAGTGCATTATGCCCCCACCTTCGTCGGGTTCTGGAAGAGCTCGTGATATATTGACTATGCCTTTCGGAAGAACACATGAGGGGAGCAGGTCACTACTACATGAGTTAATGTAATGCCCGGAGACAGAAAACAATGATGCTAAAGCCGTGTCGATACCTGCTAAATATTGGAGAATAATTGTCTTTTCCCTGTGTTTGAGACGTTTTATGATTGTGCAAGTCCCAAAGGAGTTTCGTCAGCTGTACATTAGAACGTAGAGATCACTTTCTTGCGATCAGACCATGACCGAATAGATTTATTCACTAGAGTTCTCGGTAGAGGGGGACGGAAGGGTAAAGAACACCGGTTGACTGAGTTCTAACGTAAGAGTTTAATGGATATTAGAGATTGCACAAAAAATGAATGCATAAGTGGCGTTGATAACAATTTTGAGCCCAGACCGACAACTGCTACCTTTAAAACAAGCAAAGCTCTTGAAATGAATGTACTGTCCTGTCCATGAAGACTTTCTAAATATAGATCTTTCGAATGTGTCATCATTCATTTTGGCTAGAAAAACGTCTAGGAATTTAATAGTATCGTTTTCCTCGTGTTCTACTGTGAAATTGAGATTTGGATGGCATGAATTGAATTTCATCAACATGTCTTCCGCTTTGTTCCAATCCAGTACAAAAAGAACTTAGTAAGAACACTGTTCAATAGAGCAGGAAAAATTTGTGCTGACAGTACTATTGAACATGAAATAAAATCTCTGAAGGATATTTTATCTAAGAATGGATATCCTGAGAAGTTCATTAATAAATACTCTAAAGAAACTACCCCCTGCAAAACAATTCAAACAGTTCCGAAGAAACCTGTCCATATCAGTTTGCCGTTCAAAGGAGATGACGTACAGGAAGTAGTGAAACGAAGACTCGACAAAGCCATCAAGAGAACTTATTATGCTGCAAAACTTGTTATCCTCAACACCACCAAGCGAAGTGCTTCAACAATCTGGGAAAGATCAGTCGCCAATCCTCGACACTTCAAACTGCATATATCAATTTGAGTGTGTTTGTGGCAGCAAATACATAGGTCGTGCGGAAAGGCGATTGTCTACTCGCATGATGGAGCATTTCCCAAAATGGTTGAAAACAGCTGAGTGCAAAGTCCCAAAATCCTCAATAACAAAAAATCTTGTGGATTACGGAAATGATATCGACGCGGTCAAGTCATTCACCATTGTCAGCAAACAAAGAAACAAGAAGATGCTTGCAATTGCAGAGGCTTGTGCAATTCGAATTTATAAACCAGCTCTCTGTATACAAAAGGAGATGGTCGTGACCCTGAATCTACCACGGTAATACGTTTTACTTATTATTCTTTACTTGTTATTACTATTATTCTAACTCTTATTCTTACTATTATTGTTATTATTATTATTGATTCATTTAAAACTATGCTTTATCAGTAAGATTATCTTAACTCACTATTATTATAACTATTACTATTGATATTAGTCTGTTTGCAATTCTCGTTATATTCCCTAGTGACTAATTGTTTATCTAAGTGATGTAATTGAAGCGTAATGCAATTTATCTTAATTTTGATCTCTCATACTCTCTCTCCCCTTATCTATTTGAACATGACCTGGAAAACATTCGCACGTGTCTTTCTGCATGACTAATTCAATGTAGTTTGTTTACTTATCAGTCTTATATCTCTTAATGTAATTTCAAATGTATATATATTCGTGTATGTAGAGTATTCAGCTGACGAGTTCTACTGAAATTTGATGAATCCATTAAATCCTGCTTTATTAACCTTTATTGCTTTTAAATTCGTATCGGGAAATAAATGTTTTCAACTGTTACCTTACCGTAGTGTTTGTAGTGGTAGGCCTTGCATATCACAGTCACCACTTGTTGAGCTACACTGGCTGAAACTAATGTTCCCGCATGTCCTGTCAGGCCGTCAGAAATGTCGTTCGAATAGCATTTAGACACTAAAAGCAGTTACCAACCCATAGTGTAAGTCATTTACACTATGTTGGTGAGTAGGGACGTAGCTACAGTAAAGTGCTCCCCTCGAATGACCAGGAAGCCAATCATGTTGCCTCCCCACTCTGGTGAGAGTTGAGTGGTGGGGTTTGAATAGGTTAACCTCGGCTTACCTTAAAGTGGTCCACAGCTGGCGGTAAGCTCTTACTTAATACGGACGAAATGCTAAAATTCACTTCAAACTTCTGGTTGTGTGTGACTGACCTCAAACAGGTTCCCACTAGGCTCTACGGATTTCATGTTTCCATCTGCCTCATCACAAAGAAATCAACGACAATGGTGTTGTGAGCACCCCCACACACACATTTCCCCAACACATACGAGACTTTCTTGACCTGCTTCTGTTCCACTTACACACCCATCACTTCTGTCATCTTACAAGAAGGAAACAAGCTTTCCACAGATTACATTTTATTACATAATCACACACACACACACCGGAGGAAAGAGCAAAGGGATGTGAAATGTTAGCTAATACTCACGAATAATGATGGCAATAGAAGAGTAAAAAAATGTTTTGAAAAAATATTTGTACATTTACAGTCCTATCTACATATTTTTATCTGTAAGATGTCTTTTTCTAAGGTATACGATAAAATGGATGAGTAATTTTAACAGTAGTACTGGAACGGTGCCGTTTTATTGGCACCCGATCGATATGATTACGTATGAAATGGAAGGCTGGAACTACCCATGTCCCACAAACACAAGGTTCCCCTAAAGCGAATGGGAAAATAAATAGAGAAGAAACGCAGTTAATAGCAACATACGAAGTGTTTAAGAATAGGTAAGTGCAATAACGATTAACCGTGAGTATGCTGACTAAATCATTACCTCAGTTTTTTGAGAAGCAGTATCAGCCTCTCGATGAACTGATTGATTCCTGAAGAGATCGATCTCAGCTCGAATACAAAAGGATTATCTCAAACTTCTCACTCCGATGAGACATCCGCCTATAGATTAAAGGAAGGTGTGTTCTACATGCAGCAACAGTTTTCACCGTCCCCGTTTAGATGGCTATGACACATGGACACTGAAATTGGAAAATATGCAAAAATGCTGACTAGCCGTCTGTGATCACAAATTTTTGCGTTGTCTCCCGTGTCATGTAGTATAATATGGTGAGCATTAATATTGAGGTTAGGTGTAGAGTTTTAGGTAAGGAGAAAAAGCTAAGTCATTGATCTGTTCGTTAAACCTTGTCAATTAACAGAGAATTGGGTTGGAAAAGAGTTAAATAACACTGGCCATATCAAAACCCGATATCGATTCATAAAGTATTTGACCATTGTTGGTCTCCACTGACCAGGTAGGGTGGGTATGCAGACTACCTGACTAGTATACACAAGACTTTGACTGAAAACTATCTAGTGTCATGCCCTTTTTTGGTGCAGATTGAATTCTGTCGGTCAAGTTTGCAATGTGGCCATCATGATGAGTGCTGGCTCGCCATCATAGTGCACTCTGAATTCTTATCATTCCTTGGTGATTGGAGACAATCGCCAGGAAGCTCACCTTAACCCTATCTAGATTATGTGCTTGTTGGCACTGACCAGTCAGTCAGCAATGCGTATCTGCACTGCAACCATGTTGAAGCAACTCATGTCATGTGCCTTACTTTGAGATTCGAAGCCGACCGAGTGAAGCAGTGCTGCTATCAATCAGAGACGTGAGTCACCACTGGGGTATTTGAGCTCAGCTTTGACCTCTTGTAGGATTGTAATGCATGGATACTTTGATTAGATATTAAGTGGTGTAATGCGCCTAGTCCTTTGTGTGTAGCAAATGTAACTGCAGCACCGGGTGACACACGTTCGAGCCTCAAAAGAGACATGAATTCCTTCAAGATTGCTGACGAGTGCCAAGAGGCACGAAACCTAGGTCACAGGCTTTCTGCGTATTGCCGCCAACCATGAAATATTCAAGATTGCTGGTGATTTTTATCGATTGCCGTAGATGCATTCATTCTTTCTGAACTCCCGAATTGTTAAATTTCTATTATTCGTCATGGTATCATTGAGTCTTGAATTTGTATGCTCTGGTAAAGATCTCTACGTCGAAACCTATGCTCAATTCGGATGAGCTAAGCTCATATAAAGCAGAGCCTAACAATGAGTAAAAGTAACGTTAGATATAGATATCACTTACATAAAATATAAGTCAAACAATGAGATAATAAATCTCTAGAAATTGACTAAGGTAGTCGGAATATATGTTATGTATGTCAAGGCACTGTCCCCCTTTCTTCAAAACAAGCCATGCTAACTACAGTAGCATTAATTTGCAAACATCTTAGGGATTGCACACCGAACTGCGATATTTCATTTTGGTCAGCTCAAGATTGATGACTAGCTGACTTTATTTAGAGTACCACCGGAACCCGTACGGGACTGTTGTTTCATCCTTTTTTGAATCCTTATAGCCGTGCGCATCAATGACCCCACACCACCAAGGATCAAATCACCCATAATCTTCGGGTTACAAGGCGAGCTCTTATACCATTGAGTCACTGGAAGGACGGAATCCAGTCCAGGTCCATCAATCCTAACTTCTGCCGATTCGCAGTATATATATAAAGTGTGAACACGGACAACCTATGTCACCGACAACTTGGTGAACCCCGCTGCTAGTCACGCTATATATATCGGGAAGTGTAAGAAATTAGAAAAGATAGGTCGGTCCTAGTGGCTGAATAATCAACGAGCTCGCCTTGTAACCTGAGGATCCTCGGTGCTTCGATTGTTAGTTTCCCTGGATTCATGGATGCGTGTGGCTGAAAAAGTACCACGCTAGACTGACGAAACCGGTTTTCCGTGGTTCGCTAACTGAAGCCAGTTGGTGATCGATGCTGAAATCAACCAAATCCCCACAAAATAGCACTTGAAAATACGATTTTGTTCGAATACAGAGTTACGAACTACTGAATAGTATATATGAGTAGTTGGGTATTTATGATGAGAATATTTTTTCCTCAATTGGACAGCTATAAGACTAAACTTACCACACCAATTGAAAGAACCAACTTTAGTATTGCACCCAGGACAATAGAGCTGAAACAGTAGGAAAGGAAGGAAAAAAACACGAATACATATAGCATGGCTATTTATTTAGGAGCATTTTTAGCATTTATTGAATCAAAAACTTGGGCACCATCAAGAGACAGGGCATACAAATTATCATCTTAAAGTTTGTACGAGGACTGGGATACTGACCGGTTATACAACGCCCACACTGAAGTAGGTAGTGTTTAACTTGAGGGGCCACTCTCCCTCCTCCATGCGAGCCTTTGACTTGAAGTTCTTGATCTACAAGGCAATATGGGGAAGCAGCATCAGGAACTGCCACGTCCCCAATGTTTTTGGTGTCCAAAACAACTTCATACACGCCATTCAATCTGTCCGGAGGCTAAAACCCATGTAGATACTCCGTCGGTGGCGGAATGATGGTTTTCCAGGACTATCAGCAAGTGCTTCTAGACAGTAGACCAGCATGTACAGCAGTCCAGTTGTAAGTGTAAGACTCGCCGTCTCACTTTCGAGCAATACCCTTCCTCACCTACTAACTGAATTCAGCCTTTTTTCAGTGAACGACAAGTCTTGTTACATCTGTCACAGTAACACAGTAGACTTCAGGGTTAAACCATATAAACAACTACCCATCGACAACGGACTCCCAAAAACCTAACCTGGCTGGCAATAGGAGCGGGAAAGAGGAGACGTTGGATACGGGGCCAACAACTTCATCGTGAGAGGCTGCAAACATTAGACGCATCTGCATCAGTGAGTAATTTTAAGCAACCTTACCAATAATTTGCAGCAATTAGTATTTACCGTTTCGTGGGAGCAAAAACAGGCGGGTAGTCTACACTGCTGGCCCAAACCAAAAGTCAAATACTTAATGAAATGACTTCACGTCTTGATTTTACTATTACCTAATCATATATCAGCTAAAATTACTCAGTGAGGACGGCGATGGCTTGGCCTGTGTACTACATGTTCTAGCCATCTCAATCAGTGCATAGCTTCACAATCTCGACTGGTCCCCCCCCCACTACCTAACAGTCTACGCTTAACCTCAATATTATCTACGATATTATACCACCTAACACGAAGGTCACGGTTAAGAGCCATAAAGGAGGACAAAGAGAACTGTCCCCAAACAGTATACATGTCTTTTGATCGATAGGTGGACAACAGAAATGACATAAGTTGTTATCAAATGTCACATAAGATTTTTGTCGTCTCCATGCTCAGATTTCGTCAGTAATCGACCAGTCAGTCCATGAGGGCTGATGTAAATTCCCAGATAAATGAGTGATAAGGTTAACACGCTCTACCACTTCACTTTTGCCTATCTTTAAGCCAGAAGCTAATGTAGCCTAGTGCTGCAGAATCACCTTACACATTTGACAGGAGCAAATCGCATGCTAAATATTCGAATCTTGTTAGCATTTTCTCCTAGGAGGACGATACCATCAACATATTCTACTTTGACAAGACTGTTCACTCCTGTTCTTAGTATATCTATGATGAAATTAAACCAAAGTAGGAGATAATGAACATACCTAACGGGCACTACTGGCTGCCATCATCACTTGAAATGACAACAACACCCCATTAAGCTATCACACGGCTGCAAACACCTATGATCGATGACAGCTGCTAATCCATTTAAAGGTGTCTGCCGATTTCAAAACAAGCAGACAAATAAAATATTATCCAAAATTAATAACTAACTTCTCAATTTACCTTGCCTTCAACTTCACTTGTAAATTGCTGTGTCCAATCTAATGGATCACAGAATAACTCGTCTTTATCACATTGTACAGGTGAGTCATTCAATGTGATACCACTGATCAGGACACTTGACACTTGGGCAACATCATCAACATCACCACGTGTACTAGACTTTAGTGATGAATTGCTGAAGTTAATGTTGGGCGTCTTTCCAGGTTTTTGATGAGCACGTAATTGATTTGAGTTGAATAATACACGTCTATGTAGAAACACACAGAATAATAAAGTGATACAATAATATGCGTTAATGGAAACAAGACAAAAACAAGTTGTAGTGTTCACCGAAGACGAGGTTGTTCTTTTCGCGCCTAATTTATTTTCCATCCTTTAACTGTACAATAGCATTGTTTTTGGCGAACTACTGTTTTTCGCTTTGTAGATTACTTTGAAGGATGAGTTTATTGAGAAAATATTCATTCAAACATCTATAAAACACAAAATAATAGAGCTAGGAGTATCCTTTTCGATCAATTTCTCTCCTGGCTCTACAATTATGTACATTATTTATATACATAGAATGTTAAACGGTTGCTGAGTGAAAAAGGTTACCCGGAAAAGTTTATTGATGAGAATATGAATCTAAAATCAAAGCAGCCCAAGGTACCAACAGTTCTTACAAATGTAGTTCCTTGGGGACAACATCAGCGAGATATATAAGTGTAGAGCCAGAAGAGGAATTTATCGAAAAGGATATTCTTTGCTCAGTTATTTTGTGCTTTATTGAGAAAGTGGAATGACCAGTGTTGATAAGGTGTTCACTTGTCACACTCCTTATAGAACCACTACCAGGTTTCTGCAACTGTGCATGTGATAGTGTTCTTGAACTATTCTTCTAGACAGAATATGTGTTGAACAACCAATATACCTTGAACCATAGAGACAAGTGAACTGATATATACATATATGCACATAGAAATAATCAGATGGGAAATCCTGTCTTGTATGGAGAATACGACTCCGCGTTACGGCGAAGAATGTTCCTCTTCTTAAAAGAAATGTTGGAATTCTTCTCTTAAAGACATCGTAAGTTAAGTCTCCCTTGAAATTAAGGTTCATGTAAAGTTTCTTTCTGTTTGGCAGAAATAACATTTCAACTCCCTGAACTTTTCGTAGGTTTGATGGTCTTGTCAATGGATCTCAGTAGGTATAATCATTAAGAGATAGAAGAACCAGAGCTGAGCATGAATTCAAAATAAAATTATTCATCCACTTCTGCAATCACGGTAAAAACTCCATTGTTTTCTACCAACTTGATTTTTTAACCTCTTATATCTCCCTTGTTCCTATTGTGCATACTGATTATAACTCATATTAGATTACTTTTATCGCACTACTTACTGAATAACACTAACACCCTTCCATAATCACCTTCTGGTATCTACTGAATTAGTAATAGCATTAACAAATATGACTTTTTCCTTAACAGTTAGTATGTAGGGATTTCACTGGTTTCAAATTTGACCTCGGACTGATATCCGTTAGATGTCCAGGATTCGAATCGCGGCGGGTGAGTACCGTTGAGCAGTCCTAAATTGGAGTGGAACACCTGTCTAGTACTCTCTGGCGGTTTTTAATGGTTCTCTGACTGAAGTCAATCTATAGTCAAACTTGAAACTGATTACGACAACTCATCACACTTTTGGTACTACCCTTCTTTCGGATTATGAGATTTATGGGGGATTTTGGATTCATTCCTATTCTTTGAATTTTGGCACGAACCAACGAAAACAGTTACAGGGATTTCATTAAGAACCAACCAGGAGCATACTGGACAGGTGTTTTGGCTTTTTTGGGGTCTTTACAGCCCCCATAACGATTTTCCTTAATCGCCTTGTGACGGAATCTAAAACCGGAAAATACCCTCTTTTGTGATAAAAGAGATTGTATCTAAATAAGATTATACAAGCTAAAGAGCGCCATCTTTGCTGAACACTACTTGTTTTGTCTTCTGTTTTCGTTGATGCTTGAATGAGGATTACTAATGAACAACAAACACATTAAGAATTACCTGCATTTTTTACATTTAAACGTTGCTGGTATACAGGATAAGTTATGGCTGACTGCCTGACTGCTATTGACGCTGCTGGTCAAATGATCACTGTTTTGATCTATTTTTTCAACAAAACAAATTAATGGTTTTTATTATTCTCATACAAACCTTGATAAGGGGAGAATTTTTTTCGCATTGAATATTGTTGAAACAAGGGGGAATTTCGGTCTACCCTCCATTTCATCGCATGAAATAATTTGAGTTGATTGATGAATCCATTATTGGGGCTTAAGATAGTAAAACAAATACAACACAACAATTACAATAGATATATTTAATACAACTGTAAAACAAAAATGAACAAGTGTAAGTAAGAGTGATTGATAATATAAAGAACACAAGCCATTCAGTGACGAGACTGCTTTCAATCAATATGACTGACTGATTTCAGCTTAGAACTTCGCATAAAAGTGCACCAGCAGCCTTATAACTTGCGACAGTCCATGTAATACAGATACGTAGAGAAAGAAAAAAGATATTCAAGAGGACTCTAATTAAACAGATATGCAAATGCAAAAGAAACAATAGTAACAATGAATATAGAAGATTTCACAAAGAGTGAATCTGCATGTCTGTGCCGTTGAGAACAATTTTGAGCCATTGGTTCTTATAATCCAAAGGACTACCACCAGCCAGGCATTCTACGTTTAACTCCCTATATAACTGGTTCAAATCAACTGTCAATTACTTCACGGATTGACTCCAAGTTATGATATGACCACTTCCAATTAATAAATACTGTAAAATGTACCCCGAAAAAACGTAAACACCTCACCCTAATTTACAAATTAAAAATATTTATTTCTTTCATAATGATCAACCCTGCACTATCACGGAGATACACACTGCGGTAAAAAGAATGAAGCAACAAGGAACTCTGGAAGGGCAGAGAGCCTACCAATAAGCAGTCGTCCAACAAGTATTCAGAAAAATATCTAAATTGGACCGGACATACACTGAGAGGACCATTTAGTGCAATCTTACTCCTGGACTTAGGGTAGAACGCAAATTCAAAAAAATGAGTTCAGCGTGGCTCTGAGGTTGATAAAGAAAATTTGGTGTTGTGAGAAGAAAATCAAGGAAGCATCTAAAAATGACTGCAGGTAACAGGATGGCATGAAGATGCGCCATAAACCTTTATGTTCCACTTAGAAGCCTAGAGAATAAAAGCTTATAATACAAATGACGATCTCTAGTCTGTTAGAATTAAGTCTCAATCTTATATACACAAATTACATGTGTGTGACTAACTGACTGTAAACACAGGACTATGCACAAAAGCAAAATAGTTGAAGTTGCAACATTTAATGTAGCACACAAAGCAAGGCAAAGCAGAAAATAGACAGTCGAAGGAACGGTAACAAGCAGAAATTTAAGGGATAAAGGATAGTGACACGTAGAAACAATAGGGTTTTCATGTACATGGCTGCTCACAAAATGTCAATTCATCTGAGCTATGAATGAGAAGGAGGATTTTCAGCCATATCACCACCCACCAATTGTCTCCAGCCGTCACCGGATCTTCGAATCTCGAGGACTCGAAACAGTCAGGCAGTCTACACATCCCTACGTGGCTGGCTGGCAGGCTGAAACCAACTGTCGGATATTTGATGGACTGATACCAGCCAAGTTTTGCTCTGACCATCATCACTAGTGCTTTTCCAACCTGACATAGATACTATGTCATCTAGCTAAGAGAGATGTGTGTATTACCTACCTTATTCCTGGTTATTGATCAAAGGAAATGTGCATTGCATAGCAGTAGTTCTCTCCGTTTTTCATGCATGTGATGCACAGCCATGCACGAAAAGACTAATTGTCTCTGATCACAAATGTTCGTGTTCCATCTATCGTGTCAAATGTTTAGATAAGGCTCAGTGTCAAGTAAAGAAGGGAAGTCAATCGAAGAGGCTTTGAAGCTACATTGATTAAAGAGACTAGGACAAGTGTGTCTCACACCGAGCCACAAAGTTAAACGACGCGCAATGTTAGATGACACAGTATTAGTTTGGAAAATAGGTTGTGGTGATGAAATCAGTTCATGAAATCCTTGACAGTTAATTAAAGTCAACCACGTAGGGAGGTGTAGACTGGTTGCTGTGTTTAGGGTCCTCAGGATGATAAGAACCAATGGCTAGAGACAATTGGTAATATGACTTAAAATCGTTCTTATTGGTGCAGATGCATTCACTCTTTTTCATTTAGAATAACCAGTAAAAATGTATTCTCCTTCCACATTACTATTCTTGTTGCTTCACATTTCTGTTCTTATTATCTCTCTTTTGAATCTTTCTTCTCTTCTCTTGTTTTTTGTGCTGTATGGAGTGTGGCAACTCGAAATGCTGCACATCTGTGCAAAGTACTATGTTGAAACCAGTCAGTCAGTGTTTGAAACTGAACATCCAATTTACTATTCGGAACCCTCTCGTTGTATTTTTTTTGGGGGGGGGAAGGAATTTCATAAGAATTTATGCTCATACTAGTCACTAAACATAAGAAAATTTAACCAGTGTTGTTTGTGTGAATGGAGACAGGCAAATATCAAGAGGCCTTGTTGAAACCTATTTTACAATGTGTAAATAAACACCAACTTATTACCAGTATTATTACTGCATATATTATTTTTTATTAACTTTAATTATTTTGCAGTTTCTTTATTTTTACTAATTTATTTATTTACTTTAACTAAAACACAGACTTGGTATACATTATGGGAACCAAAAGGTGCACCACATAAGATCTCATAGTTTGTGCACGAGGGCAGGGATACTTACCGCCTGGATGGCTAGACCCACGCAGATAGTTGTCTTAAGGAGCCACTCTCCCATCCGGAGCCTTTGATTCAAAGTCTGACCCACAAGGCAGTGTAGTGAAGCACCGTCAGGAATTGCTACGTTCTCACAGTTGCCGGTGCCTGAAACACATCCACCACAAACCATTCGATCCCTTAGGGTTCTGAAGCCCATGTACACACCTTTGGTTCGGCATCAGGATTTTCTAGCTCCCCTAGGTAGACCTGCATATGCACTCGTTACGAGCGCCTTCACCCTTTCCCTTTTGTGAAGAATACCAATCATATCGCGTGAAGGAGGTGAATATGATATCTATGATATGATATGATATCTATGGTTGGCCTGCAAAATTTGGGCTACCGATATCCATGCTGAAAATTCCATACTTGTACCAAAAATACAGTGTGGACTCAAGCTGTAATCAAAAAAAAATTAATTAATTAATAATTACCTGACGGCAGAGACTATGAACGCGTGGTCACACGACAGCATTTCAGGAGAGTGAGGAACGTTGAAGTCTACACACCCTCAGTCGTACTAAATAGTTTGTGAAGCCATTCTAAACAATAATTTTTATATAAAATGGAATTTTCAATATCGTGTACATATATTTCAATAATCTATCTTCTTTTACAAATAAGAACTGGTACGGAAATGAACGGATAGATTTCTGTCTTTCTTTCCCTCTGCGTTCATCACAAAAGTGATTTGGCGAATGCAAACATCTGGTGCTTACAACTGAGCTAGTTGGTAGACACACTGGTCTACGTACCTACCTAGGGGAGCTGGAAAATCATGATCGATTTCACGGCCTACGGTGTGTGCATGGCCTGTAGAATTTGGACGGACAGAATGGAATATGATGAGCCTGGTTTAGTCAACGGAAACCGTGGGAGCACAGTTCGTGACGGTATTCCACTGCGAATCAGACCCCGAATTTCAGGGCTCCCAGGGGGGGGTAAGCTTTTAAGACAACACCCACTTCGGTGTGGACAGTACCTCAGCCTTTGTATCTCTTATTGGTGTATATAATGTACCGATGTTTTCATACATTTATTCCCCTTAATGAATTTGAACAAACCAAAAACTACAGTTTTAGCAGAATAAAGTGGTACCATCTTTTATTTCGTTGCCTTCTCATCAGCTGCTTAAAGGGCAAAGACATTATTAAATATACCTACAAAAACAATTTTCGATAAAGAAAGGAAGACGAAATTTGCAGTATAAAATGGTATCATTCTATTTTACAGGTTCTCATCAGCTGCAGACTACCTGAAATTACTATTTTAATGGTAATAATTAAAACTGAATGGAATAAAGTGATTATTATTAGCATTAAAACAAGCTTACAAGACACTTCGTTTTCTATTGACAATTGTATAAGCCTCATCATAAGATAAGCAATTCTGTCGCATAATATAAGCGATGACAACACTTGCACTACGTGACACTCCCATAGCACTAAAAAGAAGCATTTTAAATTTTACTTCTATCAATTATTCTTACCAATGCACTAAGATGCTCGACTGTTTTATACTACTCTCGATAAAAGTTAATGCATCTTCAAGTAAATCCAACAAGTCCTGTGTAGGTTCATCACGAAGATAGATATACTTCCTATTGAATTCTTTAAAGACAACAGGATCCAACGGTAAAATATCCAACGTGAGAATTGATAATATTCCATGTTTTTTCAGCGTGGGAATATTTTCTGAAAATGGCATTGGACCAAGCCATAAATTTGGGATAATTTCATCCATATTTTGGGAAAAGCCAAATGCCCTGAAGAAGAAATGAAATAAGTTGAAAAGATCAAAATCATCTGTAATCTGCGGTATTTCGAAAGGACAATGTGAAAAATAGTAAGATCACAAATTACATTACTCACAGATAGACTGAGGTTTAACTATGGCACAGAAGTACACCAGCCCCTCAAGTTGTCAAAGAAACATGAAAAAACACGAAAACTTAGTAGATATTGGAGATCACAATGGGTGAATGTTTCTGCGCCACTGACAGTCATTGGTTCTTAGCATCCCAAGGACTCTAACAAGGCACTTTACACCTGCATATGTGAATGGTTAAAACCAACATCCAGAATTCGTAGATTGATTCGATGTCTTCGTTTCACTAACCTTAACTCTTCCAAGCTAATTCTATATCACCTAACACAGACGGTCAAGAAAGGCAGCAGCTTGGCAGGTGTAACACAATGTAACTTCACAACCGCAACGATTGACTTCCTTCTCTTACCTAACAATTTACGTTTACAACCTCAAAATTACTCACCCTATTATACTGATTAACACGGGGCACAGGAGGCATACATATGTGGTCAAATACATCTAGCCAGAATTTTCATATCTTCTACTTTCAATAGCATCCATGTCTCGCTGGTAGCCACGCAAACAAGGACAAGCAGATTATTGTATGTGTAAAACTTGGGCACTGTGGTAGTAAGTAATTCCATATTAGTTTGTTTATTAGATCATCCAGTAAATAATACTGTTTCACTGTGTGATATATCTAATAAACAAACTAATATGGAAGGACAGACAGAGCTGCTGCTGTTGTGTAGTACACACGTTCACTGATCAACAGATGGATATTGCATCTACGGCAGAAATGAGATAAGTAATGACACCTGTGATGACTTCAGTTATTTTGATTGCCAATATGTTCTGAGGTTTGAATCAGATTTTATCTGATTTCGCCTAAGTAACTAAGGTAATATCAATAACCCCACAGATAATAAATGTGACTTACAGCTAGACAGCTGACTTTTAACAACGTATTTATTAAAATAGGTTCCCTTATGCCGACTACATGATTAAAGTAGGGGTTTTCAGATATTTTCTTTTATTCCTTTGAATTTCAAGTGGAATATAAGGCTTCAGGGTTGAGCTTTGAAGTTTCGGTAGCAATGGCTGCATTTTTACAGGATGTGTTTCCTAGCCTCATGCCCGACCTTCCCTCTATACCGGGTTCAATAACGACTTAGCGAGGTTTAGGAGTACATAGGCTCCTCGGATCAAACCCTGGACCACATACGTGGTTGGCGATCATTTTATCACTGAAATACCGACTCAGTGGCTGAATGACCTACGAGCTCGCCTTGTGACCTGAAGGTTATGAATTCGAACCTTGGTGTGTGGGTACTGGTGAAAAGTCCCAAAAAGCTATCTAGTTTTCAGACATAAATATATAAATAAGGCTCTTACTACCTGCTGAAATGCCTAAAATAAAAGGCTGAGCACTACTAATTTGCGTGACGGTAGAGCCCCGGGGTGAACAACTGCTTAATGTTGATCAAAAAACTCACACACAGCCTGTTTGAAGTGATTTTTGAAGTTGTGCGTCCACACAAGATCTTATCACCAGCTATACACCACTGTAACGTAAGTCGCGCAATTTTAGAGATCTACCTTATAACCTACGAAGGGTTGTCCAGAAGTGAAAAGCAGAATAATTGGCTTACTAGTCGTTTCAGCGGAACACCGTAATACTGTCACATGTGATCCTTAGTCATAAAACTCCATCCTCCGACCATGGACATAGTGCAAACAACTAACACTACGTGATGGTAACTGCTCTTAGTCCAAACGCTATCCAATAGAACATTTTGGCATCCTAGGACTTGCAAGAACATCACTGAGCATTGATTTTGATCTGTAAGGCCGACTACTACATCAAGATAGAAGTTATCACTCGGAAATATATATATGTATCTCGGAAGCTTGTTAAATTACACTTGATTTGCACAAAACTCGATTGCTGCAAACAGAAATGCAGCTTAAATAATTGCGTCACACCACTAATTCTCTACATATTTTATCCAAATGAAAAATTACTTGATATAGACAACTTGAATAGCGACTAGGGTATTGACCTTTCTATTCTTTTCACTTCTTCAAAGACAGAACTATGAGAACAAAACATAGGTGGAATTCAGAATCTTACATAGAGACGTGAACGAGTGTGACTTAAGTTACACACACATACGCTCGGCACACTGGGGAAAGTTCCACAACGTCAGCCAAATATATGTTTCACGTCCCGGTGTGCGTCTAACTCTGTTTGTCCTAATGCTTTTACTAGGTGTGTCGTTACTTGATGAAGTGTATTTGCTTTATCTAGTAGTGCCTACAAATCTAAACTAGATCCTCACAGAAACACACACCGCAAGAATTAATACATGCTACACGTCTACAACCTTGCCTAGTCAACTAGCTAGCTAGTTTTCTAGTTGGTCTCAAGCCCGAGTAAAGAGGGAGGGTTGGGTGTGGAGCTAGCAACCTTACAGCACAAAAGCCATGAAACTGTTTCAGAAACTTCAAAACACAAAAAATATATTAAAAATACAAAAAATACAAATAACAAACTTATTCTTCGCTGGATTCGGAGGGGCGAAATGACACAGAGAGCTAGTGGAAGCCCAACTTCGGGAAGCCAGTCAGCTAGCCTATGCGTCTACTTTGGAAGAAAGCAAGAAGTGGGGATGTGGAATGTCCGTACAATGTATGAGATTGGGAAGGCCGCCCAAGTAGACAAATAAATGCGAAGATATGGAACAGAAGTGCTGAATATCTGCGACAGCAGATGGAATGGATGTGGATTATCGAAATTGTCAACTTGAGAGTTAGTAATCTACTCCGGTCACCCAGACGACAACGACGAGCAGACTGATGTCGCTAGCAGTAGCCAAAGCCCTAAAGCAGTGGGAACCAATATGATCCAGGATCATGACAGCAAGGAAGGAAGTTTACAATTATCCAATGCTACGCACCTACAAACAACGCGGAACAGGAAAAGAAGGAAGATTTTTACAGACAACTACAAACAGTAATGGACAACATTCCAAGTGGTGACATCAAAATCCTCATGGGCGATATGAACGCTAAACTGGGAACAGATAATACAGTAAGAGAACTCATCATGGGTTGAGAGGTTCTCGGAGAAATGAATGAGATAGAATTATTCGCAGACTTTTGAGCTTCCAATGATTTAGTAATCGGAGACAGCGTTTACAGGCATAAGGATATACTCAAAGCAACATCGGTTTCGCCTGACGGGAATACCACAAACCAGATAGATTTCATCTCAACGTTGCTCAAGGAAGTGGAGACAAAGTCGAGAAGGGGAGATGTGGGCTCAGACCATCACCTAGTTTTAGGAACCTCCAAGGTGAAGCTGAAATCCTTCAAAACAACTGGAAACAGTTCAACAATCTAAAACTGAAGGACAAAACTACAAGGGATGTCTTCACTATAGATCAGAGCAAAATAGGAGACACTATGTGGCATCATTGAGGAAGCCTGCGTGGAAGAACAATGGAACTTTCTGAAGGTGATGTTTAAGGAAATGTGCACAGCCTTCATAGGAAGAAAGGAAAAACAAGTCAAGGAATGGCTCTCAACGGACACCTACCCGGAAGCCAATAGAAGAGAGGAGAGGAGGATGGTGAAGTAGGTGACTCAATGCAAAGATGTTGAGTTCACAGCAATGCACACTGCACTGAAAAGAATAGCGGAGACGAGTGCTAGGGAAGACAAAAAACAATTCTACGACACACTGGCTGGCAAATGAAGCAGAACAGGCGGGTCGCCGGTAAAAGACACCTCTGGACAATATTTCAGGTAACTAGGCTGCTCGCTATCCGGGAAGAGATAAACCCAGATAATGAATCCAATAAAAGATGTTCAAGGGAACCTGATTAGCAGGGAGGAGAAACAAATAAAACAACGGGCTGATCACTTTAAAGGACCATCACCTACAACTCGACCAGGAATACACTATTACCAACAGTACGCACAGAGCTGCCTGCCACTGGACACCAGTCCTTCAACGAGAGAAGAAATACTAAGTGCGGTCAAGCTACTGAACGCCGGCAGGAAGGGAAGCAACACCAGACGGAATTCTTCCCGAACTACTGCAAACAGACCCAAAGACTGTGTGCCCACGCTAATATTGCAAACAGTTTCGAAAGAAGGAAAGGTACCTATCCATTGGAAGAAAGACTGTCTAACACATCAAGCTGCTAAAGAACGGCGACTTACGCCTCACATTGCAAGAACTGTGGTGGAATAATGCTGTTGTCCTCGCCAAATAAAAAATACTAAGTCGCATCGTCCTGGAGATAATAAAGGATGCACTGGATACATAACTCCACCCCTATCGGAACAAGCTGGATTCAAGAAAGGCAAGTCATGTGCTGATCAAATTGTTACTCTACGCATCGTCACAGAACGAAACGTAGAATGGCAGTCAAACCTTTCTCTACTTCTAAAAGGCCTTCGACAAACAGCGTTGACCGAGATATTCTTAGTTGCGGTATTCTGGATTATGCGTCAAACTGCGAGTGAGGAGACAGTAGTACGCTGGACGACCGATAAGAAGACTCTAGAAGACCTGGATTTCGCAGATGATCTATGTCTAACGTCACACAAACTGGAAGACTTGCAGGCGAAAACCAACAAACTGGCTGATGAGGCAGCGAAGACAGGATTCCAAGTAAACATAGAGAAGACGGAGGTGATGAGGATGTCCAACAACAGCAACCAGCACCAATCACCATCAATGGGAGAGGTTTGAAAGCTGTTACTTCCTTCACTTATCTAGAAAACATCGTTTTAACTACAGACCCACGGAACTGGTGAAGGTGTCAAAGCCAGCCAGAATCGGAAAGGCAAGATACACCTTCACCAAGCTGAAATCAGTTTGGAAATCTTCTGCACTAAGCATAAGGAACAAGACGAATTTTCAACACCAATGCCAAGTGGGTCCTTCTATACGCGTTAGAAACATGGAGTGTCACGAAAAGCGAAATCTAAATGTTTCTGTTCTGACCCCACAAATGATGCACGGATACCGTCACATTAAAAGTTAATGGTTATTCATGCAAAACAGATTTTGATTCCTGAAGTTCTTCACACAACTCCATACACATAAACCAGTTGGGCTAAAGTGATGACGAATGGTTAAATAGTGGCTAAGCTGAGCAGATTTTGGATGGGTGGTAAGAATATAACGAGCATGTTTTCGCTAAATAATGGGCGAAATTGGAAAATATTAATTAAATAATTGCTGAGACAGGAAAATAACAAACAAACATAGGAGGATACTGGTTACTCTTCGGTAACATGTTGGCTGAATCATAGGAAAATATTGGTTCAACACAGGTAGGATATTAGTTTACGTATTATAGCGGTCAAAATTATAAAATAATACTTATTTTATTCAAAATAGGAAAACCGCGTCATGTGACCACAATTCACCCATTTTTTAAAAACTATTAACCATATCCGACTGGGAAATTAACCAGGTTTTAATCTGATTGGTTGGTACATAGTCTTTAAGTCGGTTGTTCTCTACTCTCTAACTTTGCCGAATTACTCATTAACGTAAGCTAAACTATATACTTGCCCGAGGAAAATAGATATAGGCAGACTTTGATTGGCTGTTGGTTAGCTGGCTTCCTATTGTTCTAAAATATAAGTTAAAGCGGTAATCTTATTTTGACACGGAAATTTACAGTCAGTATGATTTAGGGTTTACCTTACCCTAATATAATGGCGTGTTAATTCTTTTGGTATGAGTGTAGTGTGATAGTCACACGCTATTTGGATGCATTGGTGGTGTTTAAAGTACATTAAAATGTATGAGAATGTCTAGTAAGTGAATATAAATCAACAATAATTTCGATGCATTTATTTTAAGCCCAAAATAGGATGTATGCATTTTTGATTACTAGGCGAATAAAATTTAACTACAATTTCTAAAAATTTAATGTATCCTTAATTAGTACATATAGATAAATGTATGTATCAACTAATCTACTTTTTTAAGTTGTCAATTCAATGACCTTTGCGATTTGTGCATACTAGGTAAGCATAAATCAAGTAAATTTCCCTTCAAACGGCTGAGAGCGACAGTTTAAAGCATACTTTGGTTGATTATTTCGTGATGACAGCAATTTGGAGTCAGTTATAAATTACACCGATCTGTGTCTTATACGTTTTTCAGCTGAGGATTTCCGGTTCATAGCATATCCTGAATAACGGTGATTAATACGACTTATCACTTAGACCGCAGCACCACCAAGCTTAAAACAATTTTAAATTCATTCTAACCTATTCCTCGATAATGCCTTTTTATGGTAACTGAAGATCATATTTACCCACCATGTTCTGAAATGACACAGGTCGTGCTTAAAAAGACAGCTGCGTGCTGAATCAAAACTATCCACTCTAGAGTAACGCTAGTCCATGCTTAATATGTCCTGTGAGGGCTGGAACAACGTTGATAAGCAAACCCAGTAGGTTCGATTTAGTGCCACTCATGCTGAAAAATCAGCGCACAGGTTCACTGTCAAACAATGGCAAAACAGTAAGGGAGTTTAATGTTACTATTATTAGCATAGTCTATGTTACTATATTAGCATAGTATACGTTAATTAGCTCAATGATTGCAGGTTTACAATAATCGACTACCAACATAATAACTGTGAACTTCAGGCTAAAAGTAAGCTAAATTTAGCTTACAAAAATTCTAAACTTATTCTAACCTATGCGTTGATAATGCCTTTTTTGGTAAATGAATATTTTTTCTACCCACTATGTTCTGAAATAACGCTGGTTGTGCTTAAAAAGAGAGCTGGGTGCCTAATTAATGCGACAAATTCTTAAAAATAAGAACAGCATCTGAAATAATGCCTTAAGTGCTGAAAATAAGCACTGCATGCCTAACTGCTGCGGTTAATACTGAAAAATAGCACGCTCTCTCTCTCTCTCGACATCGTCTATTGAAACCTTCTAGATACGTATGAGAACTGTAAAAAGGGTGTAGAGCTTTCGAGAAGCAATGATCAAGGCACCAGGAATGTAGACATGAACGATGATACGTTGCCAATGCCTAGTAAGAGACCGAAATGGTAGGTACCGTTGTCTGTCTAACACATTTTCCAGGGATGCCAAGAAAACTTTCCTTTACAACTCAATGGATATTGATGTAGCCGCCAGTGAGGTTGGTTGCATCAAACCACAATATCCAGATTATAACATATTTGATGACTTCGTGGCCCCAATTCCAAGGTATTAACCTAATTGAAAGCCCTCATTTTCAGTACTTCGGGTGCCTCCATATTCCAGTCTTCATCTCCTATTGGCAAAAAGACGTGTGTGTGTGACCGGTAGGAATAATTGTCACAATTTTTATTCATGCTTTAGATTGCCGTCTAACGAATATGCTACTGAATCCTCAATTAAGAAATTACTCGGTAATTACTTAAAAATAATTATTTATTTAAAGATACAAATATGGAAGTCATTAACCTGTGCACGAAAATATTGAACATTGTGACTACTGACAGAAAATCTCGACAGCAAACCTACCCTCCAGCAAACGGGGACTTGACACTGCAGTTTCCGATCGAGAATGAAGACCAGTTAGAGATGCTGGAAGCATCTTTAAGAGATGAAAAGTACAAACAGCAATATGTGAGTTGACGTATTTAATTCTTATTTCTTGTCGACTGCTAAGATGGCTAGCTGCCTTCAGAGTGATCCAAAGTTATCACTTAAAGTCATGATGCACCATGTTATAAAACCTGAAGTGGGTTTGAAGTTTACATTCCAGAGGACTTTGACAAAGTCAAGCATTGTGCCTTATGCCTTTTATAAAATAATGAGATGTAAGTTTCATTAATGAAGTAATTAGTTCTCTAGCTTTAATTATGTCGCACCTCTCCGGCCAACAAATGACGACAGGAGAGATTGGTGAAATGATGGATAAGGCCACGAAATCGTACTTTCATAATTTGAAAGATCGTGTCCAAAGGCGTAAGCGGAAGCAAGGAATTCAGGTAATTTTGCGAAACGACTGCTTACTTCTATAAGTGAACGTTTATTCAACATGTAGTAATCACAACATTGTTTTCTTTTTTAGGCAAATGAAAAAGATACCGGGGGTATAACATTGGCACTTATGTAAGTAAACTTCTATAAATGTAAATGCTCAGAATGTTCTGAGCACAATTTTTCACCCACTAATATTTTATTTTGCTTATTTGCAGGATGCTGCCAGTGGATCGCACTTGACGGGATTGCAGTGACATTGTACTACAGTTTATAAATACAAAAGTCTCAATTATAAAAACTGATCTCTTCTGCAAGCTAAATGAATTTCGCCGGCGTAGGACACAGGTGATGATAATAAGTAGAAGTCTTTTCGTTCTAAAGTAATGCGAGTCAGTGCTGAAAATGATCTGCGAAGGCTTGAATTAGGCTGAAAAAATTGCCACTATGTGCTGAATTTATTCTTTTCGTTCTAAAGTAGTGCTAGTCAGTGCTGAAAATGATCTGCGAAGGCTTGAATTAGGCTGAAAAGATTGCCACTATGTGCTGAATTTAGTCTTTTCGTTCTGAATTAGTGCTAGTCAGTGCTGAAAATGTTCTGAAAGGGCTGAAATAAAGCTGATAAGCAAACCCGGTAGGTTCTTATCTACTTCTAACAATGCTTAAAAGAAGAACACGGTTCTGAATTAGGGCTAGTTATGCTGAAAACTAGCACTGAGTTCTAGTCTGTGCCATTAAACAAACGATTTCAGAACAAATCCAGAATTTACTCACTATAGGATGCTAGGATTATTTCAGAATTACTGAGATTTAATTCAGAATTATAACAAGCTTGGTTAGGATATCAATATAGCCTATTTTGGTGTGAAGAACAGCCTTTTTTGACAAAATAATTCTCTCAGTGCTTCGAAATCACCTGCAGATGCTATCAGAATCATTCGTGGGAACCTAAATTATCAACAGTAGCACCCAGTGACAAAAACTGACCTACGCACTGCAAAATGAGCAAAACATCCAGAAAAGCCTTTAAAATTCAATGGAAAACGAATTCACGAAAACATATAACTAGCCGACGCAGGAACTCATCATGACCTAGAAACTGACTGTAGCCTCCTTCTTTTCACATGGAGTCAGAAGTAACGCCAAATCTAGACTACGCGCTCTTGGACCCTCCCCAGAGATTTAGATTCAGATTTGTTGATTAAGGATCAAAGGTTTGTGGTCCGTGTTAATTCTTTCTAAATAAAATTTTTCTGTTTGTCCAGACCCTTCTTGAATAAGTAAACTGAAGGAATGTTGGCACCACTTATCTGTCAGTCGGCTCCAGGAGTTGATGACTCTGCGTGAGGACCGATACCCCACGCCAATATAGTTTCTCCTTGGCTTTTGAACTCTCCTGAAATGTCGTCTAAGGTCTCGCGACCTAGTGAGAAGGAAAGAAAGAATAGGCTATGTCCGTGGTCATTATTTAAAGTCTTCAACATGGTAATGAGAAGAGATAAAAACTCCTCAGTCTTTCCCAGTATGATGGGTTAGCCATGCCAAGAATCACGCATGTTGCCTATCTTTGAACCCTTTTTATCACGTATGAATTTCCCTTACAATAAGAACTGCCTGTCTGGATATAGTTTTCCAGTCTTAACATCACTAGAGATATATATAAAGAAGTGAACTTATCTCTAGAGGTTCTAGTAAAAGCTCTATGATTCGCCCACACAGATCCAAAACTGCATACTGCCACCACACGACAATGTGTTGCAGTTTTTAAATCGTGTCTTGATATGACATCTAAATCCACATAATTCTGAAGTGAGTGTGCTATGCCCTCTGGTTCATAGGAGATGAGGCATGTGTGTCATGTGTAAGTAGTGGTGCATCTAGCCATGCTGTTCGGGAGCATCTATTCTTTGGACCACCCCAACAGTTTGTTGAGGTCTCACTTTAGCATGAACGTGTCATTATCGCTCTTTAGCTCCCTCCGGAGTTTTAGGTCATCTGCTTAGACAGACATAGGGGATTGTATGCGTATAGATAGCCGATTGACATAAAAGATAAATTGGGTTCAGAGCACGGCGCCTTATGACACTCTAATATGTAATACTGTCCGGGAGGAGGGTTTAGATTTGATCCTCTCCCCTACCTATGATGAATTCTCCAACCCAACTCAGCAAGCCACTTCGGTTCCAAGACATTCCAATTTTATGACTAGGCTTTTTGAGGCACGTTATGGGCGGCATTGATGAAGTCCGTGAAGACGAAGTTGTAGAAGCACGTGGATATCGAACGTTTGTTTTCGGACCTGGTAGCCATTGGTGGACAACTCAAAGGTGCGAATGGTTCGATCGTGTACAAGTGCAAAGAGGACGACCAAAAAGGAATAAAAGTACCTCATAATTTTGTATAAAATATTTCTTTATGGACTTGCAATATTCTCCGCTTTAATTGCCGAACAATATAACTTCCCTCTTACAATGCTTGTGTTTTGGAGTTAAAGTCGAAGAAAGTACATAGTATTTATCAGTTTGGAGCGTCTTCGTAACAATCTGTTTTCTGGGGCGTCTTTCTTATCAGCTTTTATTCCACCGTTCGTTTTCTGGAGTGCCTTCAGGGATAGTTTTTATTCAACTGTTCGTTTTCTGGTGTGTCTCATGGTGCAGTTTCTATTCTTCTGTTCGTTTCTGGAGCGCCTTCTGGAACTTCCGGAATTCCTTACTGGGTCTGCAGCCAGCATCTCTTTGGACACGCAATTCGGATTCATTGGTGACGTTGGATAATACCTGGCCCAAGGAAGAAACGTGGCACCGTGGAACAGACAAAATGGCAAGAGACGATGAGTTGCCTGTTAATTGTAATGATATGCATGATGCTCAGCATGATTAGTCTGATGTTCACGCTTCGCCGTTTAGGGATAGTAGTGGTTTAGGACTCCCCAAGTTTGAAACTCGGTACTTTAATAATAATAATAGTATATTCTCATTTTGTACATGAGAGACGCCAGTTTACAGGCATCATCAATATGATAAATTACATATACGATTAGCAATCATAATTAATAATAATGTTTTAATAAAATACACATTTTTTCCTACTTGTGTAGGACACACCAAATATACAGGCATGGGTAAGCATTATTTAAATTTCATAAATTCGGTTTATGGTTAAGTTACATGGTTGCTGGCGTTTTTGTCTTAGGTCTGTGGGAACAATATGATAACCAGTCATTCAATGGAGCACGTCATGAAATATAGGAATATTAACTTCGCATTAACAAAAAAACCCAAGTAAGTTTTGGATGGATTAAAAATACTTGGGAAAAAATAAAGCTTGAAGTAATTCCTCAATATAACTTGGGTGTGTACAAATCCGAATCTTATTTTTATTTGATTTATATCCAAATTGGGTAATAAGGAAGCTATTTTACAGATACGATCAGTTATGTTATAAGCTACAATCGTGACGTTGTATTACAAATAGATACTTTTCCATTGGTATAAGAGTATATTCCACAAATGTAAACCAGGTTGCGTCGTGGAGAAAGTTAATTCGTTATTAACCAGGCAACTGAAAGATACGGGACCAATAATGTTTGCAGATCATTTGTCATTGTAAATGGTCAAATATCCACATTATTCATTCTCATTCAAAAAGTCAAATAGAAGCTGAAATGGTGAGAGAAAAAAGAAGACAAACAACAGCAACGCAAAAGAAAGCAACGGGAGTCCTTAAGGAGTGATTAATAAATATATACATATATATTCTGTTTTGTAACTATGCTTATTTTTTGTTCATTAACTAACTAGTCCCGTTATGCTAACTTTTATATTATGTGTGAACTAATATTACTGTCCTGTGTAGAAATGTTTATCATCTAGTTCCAATAATATTAAAATTTATAATTGTAGTTTGTTGTAACTACACGTTTAAAGAACTTAAAATATCTATGTATGGTGAAAAAGAAGGTGTAAGAGTCAGGCGCAAAAGTGCATTGTCATCTTTGAGCAGTCTGGTGACTGAGGAGATGAACACTGGAAGTGTGTTTGCATCGCGCACATTAGCTGGTAGTCTATTCCAAATGACTGAAAACTTATTTAAGAAGAAGTTGTACCGCACGTAAGTCTGACAGTGCTCCACAGCAGCTAGGCTGTGATGATTTCTAAGATTGTAACTGATGACAGTGGTAGGTTTAGTTATTGGCTCGGAGGAATGCAAGAGAAGATTAGTTAGCTTGTAGTAAAAGATAAGGTTTAGCTTAAGACGTCTTTTCCAGAGGGGTTCTAATCTTAGTCTTTCGCATCGCTCATGGTATTCCAGACCACTTTCTAAACCAAGAGTTCTTGAGGTAAACTTTGATGGAAACCCAGCCAACAACCCACAGTTTATCGGGAAGTTAGAGATTATGTTGAGTGGTTTCATTTTAAATGACGAAATGAAGTTAATGTATTTGTTGAGGTACTGCACTGGAGTTGCTGCAACAGCCATACAGTGCTGCAAGTTTATATTCCTGAAAGAAGGATATACCGAGGCGATGCGTATCCTGCATCAAAGGTTTGGAAGACCTTGGATGATTGTAAGGAGTGTATTCGAGGCTGTTAAAGGTAATGGTAGTCAAATACAAGATGACTCTTAGGCATTCACTGGGTTTCTAGGTAATCTGATGACCTACAAGAATACGTTGATTTCGATGAATCGCATCAGCGACCTGAACTCAAGTTCTGTCGTAAAGGTATTAGCAAGACACCTACCTACTCGACTGCAAAGGAAGTGGGTGAAGATAAGGTCTCGTATAGAGGACGAAGGTTTAGAGGCAAGGTTCGAAGATACATTGAGATTAGTGGCTGATAATGTTAATTCGACCATGAGTAAAGTCACCAGTATATAGCATCCGGCTTCTTAAAATGAGCGGTCAGCGGGCAAAACGCAATCATTTATGACGAAAGGGTCTCGGAGAAGCGGATATCGAGAAAACTCTATGGTGTCTAGTAATCCATATAAACTTAGTGAGTGTAACAGCTTTCGTGGGACATCCTCAACAGATAGGTTACAAGATGCAAGACAAGCACGGTTGTGTTTTACACGTTTGCAAGAAGTGCGTACAATGATGAACTGTGAAGCAGTGAGCGAGTTTAGTAGTAAGCTAAATGCGAAGTCGGTCCTCAAGTTGTGACTGTGAATTGTGTGACGACAAGGGTGCATTGAAGAAGCCTGTAGTTGCAACTGGTAAGCCATTGTTGAATAGAGTGTCACAGACAATACAGCAGTTTGTGCAGAAGAAGGGAGTTACACTTTCAAAGTCCAGTTCTGACTCCACAAGTTTACAAGGTATTACTAGTTAGAGTAAAGGTACAAAAATTCTAAGGATTTACGAAGGAGAATCCAAACCATCTGCTGCTGTTATTAAAGAGTTTGAAAATGATGAAGTCGATCACACAAACGGCGGTAAAGTGGATATTTGTAACAGTGGTCATGATAGTGCACTTTTTCTATGGTTGATCAGACGAGAGGAATGTCTACTACTGCTGAGTTGAACAAAGGTTCTGTACAACTTGAACGTGAAGTAGAACCAAAGGAAGATGCAGTTGCAGAAGGTATGGATACTCGTGACACCGTCAGTGTAAATTATCTGCGTGTAACCCACCTATCAACAGATGTTAATGCTAAACTTGAGCTAGTCATAAAAGATAGCAGTGATGGTAATCTGGCGGTTAGACAAATTTCTGAAAGCCGAACCACAACAGCTTCTGATCCACCGCTAAGTTCATCAACTTGTGTCACTCAGTCATCGTTGGTGTTGTCATCCACAATGAAACAGACGCCCATCAACTCCAGTATCTTGTCCAATGACTATGATAGTATTGGTGCACTTGAAAAGACGAAAGATATTGCTCAGTTTAGAGAGGATAAGCCAAGTGTAAACGAGAGAGTAATTGTTAAATTGACTTGCACGAATAAAGGCATTTCTAGTTTCAAGTTACTATTTGAATGCTATTATCTTTGGTGTAAATTACTCTGTGCCTACGCTTGGTTGGCCAGATACTTCGTGTGTTTGTTAGTCATCTACATTCTACGATACAATGACATGAGCGTGTTACCGTTCAGATTTGAGGATATGGCTCATAGAAGGAAGTTAGCAAATGAACTCTGCGACGATTTTCCAACCTAGGGCGTCA